AGGTGTCGTTAGACATCATTCTCACTTCTTCCCTCCTCACACAGCACATGTGACCTTCTATTCACTAAGGACCTTGAATGTCCGTTTGTGTTCTTTGAGGCTGCCTTCTGGAAATGTCCTTAATCATTTTCCAGGTTCACAGGGGGCTCTTCAAGGACAAGACATGATCGTTGGTGCAATGAATTTCTTTTCTTTTTTTTCCTTGCCACCCACCAACCCCTATCGTGGAATGAAGTTATTGCCTGTTCTATAAAATGATCCATATTCTTGCCTCCAAATGGCAATTTCTCTCTTCATTTTTCAGACCTGTGAACATGCTCTATGTAAAATCACTCCGATGTTTTCCTACTGACTCCACGCCTTGCATATGACCATCTCCATTAATCAGGAGCCTGACGTCCTTAGCCATTCTTGGGGTGAATCTTTGACGTCCATCCTTGTTGGATGCTTACCTCCCAGACGCCTGACTTTCCCCAGGGAGTTTCTCCCAGGGCTGTCCTGGGGTCAAGCTGATTGCCAGGGGTCCCGGCGGCTTCTCCTGCTGCATGGTGTCCTCCCCTCACATTTACTTAGCATCTGTTCAGGGTTGTGCCCAGTAAGAAGTGTCACACACAAGGGTAGATGCCGTGGATGAAAACATTGGATCCAATCTGTGTGGTTTCAGGCCACCCAAGGGAGGTTGCCCAATGCTGACCAGGGGCTGAGATCAATGGGCAGACACTCCGGTGCTGGCCGGAAACACAGGGAGGGGTCACGCTTCCAGCCTCCTCCTGAGCCCTCACCCCTCGCTTCCCGTGAGCACGCAGGCCTCTCTGTGTCCAGGCAGGTGGACACCTCCCCCGTCAGACTGCTCCATGGGCCCGGGCACCAGCGTCCACTCAGCTTTGTTCCCCTTTCTTTACTGGAGGCCTTGCTCCAGGTTGGGACTTTCGTTTCTCCTTTTCTGCAATTGTCCGTAGCCTGTCACCGCCTATCACAGAGATATTTTAAGTAGCCATTCTTGGTATTCAGAGCAGACAAGGTTGCTTAAGTGCACAGAAGTTATCCGTGTGGCTGTGGAGCCCAGGACGCCCTCATGTCCAAACTCCCATCCCTGAACCTGCTCTGAGAACCAACATTGATGACGCCTCCGTGAACCCACACCACTGACCCGCGGCCACCCTGGAAGCGGCGTCGGGACGACATGCAGCCCTGAGGCTCAGAGATGAGATGGTGAAGCCCACGGGCTCACGGTGCCCAGCAAGGAACACTTACCCAGGAATCTGCTTTGTCCCGACCAGCCCCTAACCACGCACTGCCCCCTGAAGCTGAGGCGGGTCCCTGTGGGGGACAGAGCCCTGCCCCAGGAACAAGAGGCGTGAGGAGGCAGGAAGGACCCAGGAGGTGGGGGGGACACCGTGCTCAGGAACAAGGGAAGCCCCTGAGGGGCAGGGGTGAGGAGCCCCCAGCCCAGGGCTGAAGCGACCGGTTCCCTGTCCTGCTCCCCGCGTCTCCCAGGGCTCATGGCCCCGGGGGCTAACGGCCTCGGCACTCACGGCCCCAGCGCCCAGGCCCTGAACGCGCAGTGACCCGTCAGATGCGGGTCTGCTGCCCTGGGCTCTGAGGGCAGCTGGACGGCTTGGCCCCTGAAGCACCCCCAGGGCTGGGGGACCCCGTCCCGGGCGAGGCCCCGCGGGATGTGCTGGTGGGCGGGCTGAGTGAGGTACACCCCCGGGGAGGCCCTGGGGGGAGGGCCGTGGCAGGTGCCCCTCCCCTGAAGGGGCATCTCGGGGAGGCCTGGGGCTGCTGGCTGCTCCGCAGGGACCCAGGGCGGGGCTCCGGGAGGATGTTCCCCTTCCTGTGGGCTGCGGACACGTGGGCCCCTGGACACAGAGCCCTCCCCCCAGTGCCACGCCCTGTGGTCGGCCTGTCCTACGGGCACCGTGGCCACAGGGAGCAGCAGGCATGACGCCCACCCTCACGGCCCTGCTCTGCCTCGGTGAGCGCTGGGGGTGCCCTGGTCAGGGAGGGACCAGCACCCCAGCCTGGTCTGGTCTGTCGGGAGACTCCGGAGCTCAGCAGCCTCACGGAGAGGGGGGCTCTGCTCAGGCTCCAGGGCAGGGACCTCACCGGACTCTCTCCCAGGGCTGAGTGTGGGCCCGAGGACCCGCGTGCAGGCCGGTGAGTCTGTCCCTGGGGGCCCAGCCCCCTCCTCCTCATGGGAATGATGGCCGCCCCCTGGGCACCTGGGGATGGAGACCTGTAGGTCTGGGCTGAGGGGTGGGGCGTCTGGGAGGTTTGGGGCTAAGCTGGGGACCTGGGGTGGGAGGGCTCGGGACCCAGCCTCTGGTTTCCTTCCAGGGACTCCCCCAAAACCCACCATCTGGGCTGAGCCAGGCTCTTTGGTCCCCTGGGGGAGCCCTGTGACCATCTGGTGTCAGGGCACCCTGGGGTCCCAGTGGTACCATCTGGAGAAAGAGGGAAGCTCAGAGCCCTGGGACACACAGAAACCACTGGGGTCCGGGGACAAGGCCACGTTCTCCATCCCACTCATGACAAGGCAGCTCACAGGGACATATCGCTGTTCCTATCACAGCCCCACTGGCTGGTCAGAGCGCAGTGCCCCCCTGGAGCTGGTGGTGACAGGTGAGACCCACTCAAGGCCCCAGCCCCAGGCTCTTCCCTCAGGAAGGGGGTCTGCTCTCAGGTGTCCCCTCTCCCAGCCCAGCCCCGGGAGTATGTGGGGACGTGAGCCCCATTTATCGCAGCCACCTCCCCTCTCCTAGGATTACACAGCAAACCCAGCCTCTCAGCCCTGCCCAGCCCTGTCGTGACCTCAGGAGGGAATGTCACCCTTCAGTGTCACTCATGGCAGGGATTCAGTGGGTACATTCTGATGGAGGATGGAGAACACAAGCCCTCCAGGACCCTGGACGCACAGCGACTCCCTGGTGGGCAGCACCAGGCCCTGTTCCCTTTGCACCCTGTGACCCCCAGGCACAGGTGGACGTTCCGATGCTACGGGTATTTCAGGAACAGCCCCCAGGTGTGGTCGGAGCCCAGTGACCCCCTGGACCTCCTGGTCTCAGGTGAGGACCAGCCCTGCCCCCTCTGGGCCCTGACAATCTATTCAGGACCCTGTCCTGGAGTGACATCTGCACTGGGACCACAGAGATGGGACTCGAGGGTGTATCACTCGGGGGGCATCTGCCTCCCACATCTAAATAGGCCAGCAAAGGCCCTCCCAGCCCTCCCACTCCCCTGGGTCCAGAAGGTGCCAAGTGGGCAGCAGGAGGGTCTTGGGGAAGCCACAGGGCAGATGCATAATAGGGGGACTTCAAGGTCAGCCCAGGCCCCCACCACAGGGCCCAATTCACCATCTGTGAGTCACTGGGGCCTCCTTGTACAGGGGGAGTAGAGAGATCCCAGGACAGTCTGAGCATCTCCCAGAGCATCTAATGCCCCCACACACTCAAGGGTGGATTGTGCCCAAGGGGGGCCAGGAGTCTGCAGAGATGGGACCACCTGGCTCCAGGGGTTCTGAGGCAGCAGCTGATGGGCGGGAATCTGGCAGAGGGAGAGCTTGGGGCCCCTGGGGAGGAGGAGGCAGGCAGAAGTGAGGGGAGCGGCCGCTGCCTCCGCCCCCACCGTGATCCCCAGGAGGCTCTGAGGTTCAGCCCCTCAGCCCCATGAAGTCCAGCCTGGGGAGGGGGACGTGGGGGTCTGTCGGGGAAGGTGGGTCCACGGGGGGCAGGGGCTGAGTTCTGCTCTCGGTTCAGGCACGTCTGCGACGCTGACTGGACTCACCCTTCCCCTGTTGGGCCTCAGTTTCTCCAAGTGAAGGGCGGGTTTGGGGCCCAGACCTGAGATGTGCTGCCGGTTCTGACCGTGGCTCCGCCCTCCTGGGAGAGAAGGGCCCACAGGGAGCCCCCCCATGTAGTTCCAGGGGGCCTGTCCCCTCTGCACAGTGAGGGGGACACTGCTCAGGGTGGGGAGGCAGGGCGAGGGCCGGGGTTCAGCCAACAAGGTGGTGAGGATGGACTCTCGGCCCAGATGGAGACCCTGGGTCAGGCGGCCTGCTGATGGGGTCCTGGAGCCCGAAGCCGGGTCCCCCTGGGGGCAGGAGGGGGGCACAGGGAGCCAGTCCCGGGCCTCTCCCGCCCCCGCTCCCCGCCTGTAACGTGGGTGGTGGGCGGCCTGCGGGCAGAGATGGAGGGACACCCTGCCTGGCCCCCAGCGGGCGCCCCTGAACGGCCCTGTGCCCCGCCCCGCCCAGGCCCGAAGTGGCCGGTGCTGGTCCTCGTCGGGGTCTCCGCGGCCTGCGCCCTCCTGCTGGCCGTCCTGCTGCTGCTCCTGCTCCGCAGCCAGCGGCTGCGCAGACGCAGGAAGCCGGGTGAGTGGGGACGGGAGAGCCGGGGCGCAGGGGGGCTCCCGGGACCCAGCGGGGGCGGGGGGAACCAGGGCGGGGAAAGGTCAGTTCAGGAAAAGACCCTCCGGAATCTCAAACCCCACAGTCTAGGCAGGAAACACTCCGTGTCAGGGCACGCTTGCAAATTTAAGGCACTTTTTCATCTTTTTGATCTCATCCAACACTGAAAAGACAGGCAGGGATGCGCCCCCACTTTCTGGTTTCCTCTGGGACCCACGTGGAGGGGCGTCCTGACCTCCAGCCCGGAAGAGGCTGACTCCCCCTCCTGCAGGTGCTGCGGACGCCGAGTCCGGGGACAGAGGCCCGCAGCGCAGGTCGGTCTGTCCCCGCGGCCCCGGGACCCACGCCGCCCGCAGCCCCGGCCCCTAACGCCCCGTCTCCCCCTCAGCTCCGGCCCCGCTGATGACGCCCAGGAGACTCTCTGTGAGCAGAAGGGGGGCCCTGGGGACGGACTGGGCGGGCTGGGGCCCCACACTGCGCGACTCCCACACCACCTCACCCCGGGTCAGGGCGGCCCCTGGGGAGCAGGGCGGGGCCTGCAGCCTCACAGTCGCAGGGACTCTGAGCAAGAGCCACCTCTCTGTGCCCACAGATGCCACCGTGACGGACGCACAGCCGGAGGGGCTGGAGCTGGACCCCCAGGTGAGGCCCCTGCTTCCCCGGGGCCCGCCCGCTGCCGCACTTCACCCAGTGGACACTCTGTCCTCGCGTCCCTCAGCTCAGCGCGCCCCACGGCTGGCCTCTCCCTCCTCGGGCACCTGGGTCGCGCTGCTGGGACCTCAGCCCTCCTGGTCGCTGTGCCCTCAGCCCTCCTGGCTCCCCGTCCTCTGTCTGACCGGCTGGCTATCGGACGCGCCCCAGGGCCTGGGAGGGCGCAGCTGCAAAGGAACCACCCCGAGGTCCCTGCGGCCCTGCGTTCCTCCCCGACAGGGCTGCACGGGCTCACCCTTCCCCCGCATCTCTAGGTGCAGCGGTGACCCCTGCCTCACCTGCCTCACCTTGAGGTGGGAGACATGTGGGGATGGGGGTTAGGGTCCTGGGTGCTCTGCTGTGAAGGAAAAGGGAGCAAGAGGGGAGAGTGTAGGGGTGGGGAGGAGGGAGCAGCAGGTGCCAAGGTCCTGGGGCAGCGACCCGCTTTTTCAGGAAGGCGGAGTGTGGCTGCAGCCAAATGAGCAGGAGATCGTGCCGGGGTGGGAGTCAGAACCTTGCACAGCATCCCAATGGCCCGAGCCTAGGAAGCCCCTGAGGAGCCCATGGGGAGGGACCGGATCTGACTGGAAGTCCTGAGGCATCTCCCTGGCATCCGTGTGTAAAACTGGCTGAGGGAGGGTGAGCGGGACCCAGACCGACCTCCCCACTGTCTCTCCAGCAGAGCCCGCAGGACGAAGACGCCCCGGGGGGCACGTATGCCCAGGTGAGCCACTCCAGGTCAAGACTCAGCAGGGGAGCGGCCACTTCTCAGGGGACGTTGCTGGACCCGGACAGTCAAGCAGAGGAGGACAGGCGCATGGACAGTCAGGTGGGTCCCCTCCTCTCTGGGTCCCAGGCATCCCCACCCCAACCACATGCCTGCCCTGTCCCCCTCCCCCACTGCAGGCTGCTGCACCTGACGCCCCCCAGGAGGTGACCTACGCCCAGCTGAACCACCCGACCCTCAGACGGGCGACCCCGGCGTCCCCTCCCTCCCAGGCAGGGCAGCCCCCAGCAGAGCCCAGCGTGTATGCGGCTCTGGCCACCCGCTAGCCACGAGGGCCTGACCCGCACGCCAGGGGAGACTGCCGGCACCCCAAACCTGCCCCCGTGGACACTACCTAACGACCCGGCGGCCTGGACTCCCCACGTGGACCCCCAGGAGCTCCTGGGACCCTCTGGGAGCCCCTGATCCTGCAGCAAGGACAGCTGATACCCCTGTGTTTGGACGTCTCAGTAATCCCCGGGTGAAATGGGAAAACCACGCGGGAGTGAGAGAGGGTTTTACGTTGAGTCAGAAGGGACATGGACACGGCAGACCCATGAAATGGAAAGTTAGGAACCGCGGGTGAATGTATCAGGATATAGTAGGAATGTAGGAAAACAGTCAGCCACCAAAGGTACTGTATCAGGCGTGTGGGAAAAGCGTCATGTTCTTCCAAACGAAGGCGGAAGGAGGGGAATACTGCCGAGAGTGGCACTAAGGGGACCCAGCGAACCTAGAGGAAAGTCAACAGTCCAGAGAACCTCGTTCTTGAAAACTTTAATCACATTTATCAATCCCAGCCGCATGGCCAAGGAAAAAGAGAGAGAAGGCCCCCACGCCCCTCATCAGGACAGCAGGGCAGGTGCCACAGACTGTGGGGATCAGACTGTTGTGAACCACTGCAGGCCAGCAAGAGAGAGACTGCAGGCGAAATGGACAAAATCCTCAAAAATCTAATTTACCAAAATGATGGTTGTAAGGATACACACAAAAACCTGAATTGTCCTCATTATTAAATATGTTGAACCTGAAATTTAAAATTGTCGTGCAATGTGAACTTCAGAAAGCTTAAATGGTGAATGCATGTAAACACTTATACATTTATGAAATGCACACACACATACACACACACAGAAACACATACACCAAAGTCCCACAAGCCCCTCCTGACAATAGGGAAGGAGGGAAGACTCCCCCCAGCACATTTTATGAGGCCAGAAGAACATTGACAGCAAACCAAACAGGAAACTACAATGTGGGAACATCACAGGAAGCCCTCTTTGTGAGCCAGATGTGGACCCCGAAGCAAAAAAGCAGCAAAGAAGATGCAGTGATGTACAAAACGGATGTAGATATCACATCATGACCATGCTGGTTATGTTTTTTTTTCAGGAATGTGTGGTTATTTTCATATTCAAAAATCAATTGATACAATTCAAACATTATTAAAAGAAAAAAATTGAAAAAACAGGATTTATATATAAATGGATGCAAAGCTTTTCATAAAATACATCCCCAACTTGAAATGGAAAAAAAATAAGACACCTCAGACATGAAAGGGAGTTCCCTAACATCTATCAGAGCATCGTTAAAATTCTACAAGGGAAATAACTTGGAAAAGTAAAAGCTTGAAGTTTTTCTGCTTGCGATTAAGACTGAGACAAGGATATTCACTATTCTGTAGGGCACTTGAAGATCCAAACAATTAAAATTTTTAAAAAACTGATACATATTGAATGGGCTAAAACTGTTTTACTCACAGATTGCAAAATTCTGTGCATGGGAAATCCAAAATAATACTAAGATGTATTATTTTTATTTGAAAAGGATCGCTCCAATGTCACCAGATACATCAGCAATACATGAAAATGTATTGCATGGCAGACTTCCAGTTTTGGACAAAGAGGAAGTAGGTATGTCTTCCCAACGCTACTACAAAGTACATCTGAAACTCCTACAGGCTATACAACAAAAAGTAAGACTCTGAAAAGTGTGGAGGAGGCAGCAGATAGGCTAAGACTGTTAAAACCCCAGGAATGACACAGAGGGTGTCACAGGAGGCCAGCTGGGGTGGCTGGACTGCCTCCGTCCACCTCAGTCCATACTGAGTCCCATACTCCAGCAGTGTCAGCAAAGGCCTTCTGTAACCGAAGATTTAAATAAAAGTCCAAATTCTCACAACGGTATGTCAAAAACGTCCAGGTTTCCTTTAAAAAAAAACACACACACATTCCGAAGAAGACAGGAAAGTCTCATCTTGAGTTGAGAACCCTTGTCAGCAGAGACTACAATGGAGATGATACAATGTTGGAACTCCCTAGCAAGGATTGTAAAGCTGCCACAGGAAAATGCTTTGATGGGCAATTACTCTCACGTTTACATTACATCTAAAAACATAGAAAGCCTTGGCACAGAATAGAAGGCATAAAGGAGAACACAATAAAAATTTAAGATCTGAAAAATACAATGATTCAGATGCAAGGCTCTTTAGGTGGCGAGGCTGAGCCGCAGAAATGGGGGGAGGGAACAGAGGAAATAATGAACGACATGACAGAAGAATGAAAATGGCTCCATCTAAGCAGCCGGAAGCAAATAATCTGGAAAGGAAAATGAGCAGAGCCTCAGGGACCTGTGGGACTGCAACGAAAGAGTGAACCACCGTGGGAGCAGAGTCCTAGCAGCAGAGGAGAAAGAGGATGATACTGAAAAACTGTTCAAGAAGTAATGCTGAAATTTCTCCAGATTTGGCAATAGCCATAAACCCCCATGGTCATGAAATGCAATGAGCCCCAAGTAGGATAAGGACAAAAAAATCTGTGCAGAGACGCATCAGAATCCAACTAAGGAAAACAAAAGACAAAGAAGTTCCTGGAGTGCCCTGACTCAGAAATGCGACCTCCCCTGTGGAGGAAAAGCCTATTCAAATGGCAACAGGCTTCTTCCTCATCAGAGACCTGAAGGCAGAAGGAGGGGCCTAAGCATCCTTCCAGCGTAGAAGGGAAAGAAATGGCACCCCTAAATTCTACAGATGGTTGGGGAGTCAGAGCTTTGTCAGGTGAAAGGAAACTAGGAGGGTTTATCACAAGCCCACCTGCCCTAAATGAACGGCCAAAGCAAGTTCTTGACCAGAAAAGGAAGTGATACAAAGGAATCTTGGAGGCTCAGGAACAAGAAAGCAGAAGGGGGGACACCCAGTGCCCAGGACAGAAAGTCACAACCATTCAGCTACTTTTCCTCCACAGCACCTGCCTCACCTTATTTTCAAATTTTCAGGCACAGAAACACTCATGCATGATCTTCAATGATGTTGGCACATTTTGTTAATCTACTAACATTTTAAGGAATGAGGATAAATTAAAGCTTTTCTTTAATTCCCAGAGCACGCACAGCAATGAGAGATGCTTGAATTCCATGCACTACAGACAGACAGTTTCACTGTTCTTTGCTTTTTTGTACTTAGCAAATTCTGCATTTTATACAAATTGAAGGTTTGTGCCAACTCTGCACCCTGGGAGACTATCGTGCCATTTTTCCAACAGCATTTGCTGGCTTCCTGTCTCTGTGTTATATTTAGTAACTCTCATGAAATTTCAAGCTTTTTCATTGCCATATAATGTTCCTCCCAGTGATCTTTGATGTTACTATTGTCACTGTTTTGGGGATCCATGAACCCCAACCATACATGATGATGAACTTAATAAATGTGTTCTGACTGCTCCACCGACCTGCTATTCTCATCTCTCTCTCTCTCTCTCTCTCTCCTTGGGCCTCTTTATTCCCTGAGACTCAACAATATTAGAATTAGGCCAATTAATAACCCTACAATGGCCTCTAAGTATTCAAGTGAAAAGGTCTTTCACTTTAAATCAAAAGCTAGACAAAATTGAGGAAGGCATGTCAAAAGCTAAGATAGTCCAAAAGCTGGGCCTCTTGCACCATAGTTATTTACATTGTGATGCAAAGGAAAAGTTCTTGGAGGAAATGAAAAGTACTTGCTGCTCGTGAACACACGAATGATAAAACAGCAAAACAGCTTGATTGGAGAAGGTTTCAGTGGCCTGGTCAGAAGATCAAACCAGCCACAACATTCCCTTAAACCAAAGCCTAATCCAGAACAAGGCCCTCTCTTCAATTCTATGAAGGCAGAGAGAGGGGAGGAAGCTGTAGAAGAAAAGTGGGGAGCTAGCAGAGGTTGGTTGATGAGGTTTAAGGAATGAAGCCGTCTCCTTAACAGAAAAGTGCAGGTGGAGCAGCAGGTGCTGATGGAGAAGCTGTAGCAAGGTGTCCAGCAGATCCAACTCAGAGAAAGAATGAAGTGGCTACACTAAACAATGGACTTGCAACCTAGATGAAACAGCCCTCTACTGGAAGAGAATGTCATCTAGAACTTTCGTAGCTAGAGAGGAGAAGTCAGTCCCTGGCTCCAAAGCTTCAAAAGATAGGCTGACTCTTTTATTAGGGGCTAATACAGCTGGTAACTTTAAGAAAGCAATGCCCATTGATTATCCCCAAAATCCTAGGGCCGTAAAGGATATGCTAAATCTACTCTGCTTGTGTTCTATAAATGGAACAACAAAGCCTGGATGACTGCACAACTATTTACATGCTTTACCGAATATCTTAAGGCCCCTGTTGAAATCTACTTCTCAGAAAATAGGGTTCCCTCAAAATATTACTGCTCATTGACAATGTACCTGGTCACCCAAGAGCTCTGATGGAGATGGACAATGAAATTATGGTGTTTTTAAGCCCATTAACACAACATCCATTCCACAGCCCATGAATCAAGGAGTGATTTTGACATTCAAGTCTTATTATTTAAGAAATACATTTTGTAAGGCTGTAGCTGCCATAGCTAGTGATTCCTCTGCTGCATCTGGGCAAAGTCAATTGAAAACCTTCTGGAGAGAATTCACCATGCTAGATGCCATTTAGAACATTCATGATTCATGGGAGAAGAGGTCAAAGTATCAACATTAACAGGAGTTTGGAAGAAGTTGATTCCAACCCTGAAGATGACTCTGGGAGGTTTGAGACTCCAGTGGAGGAAGTCACTGCAGATGTGGTGGAAACAGCAAGAGAGCTGGAATTAGAAGTGGACCCTGAAGGTGGGACTGAATGGCCACAACCTCGTGATCAAACTTGAATGGGTGAGGAGTTTCTTCTTATGAATGAGCTAAGAAAGTGGTTTCTTGAGAGGGAATATGTCCCTGGTGAAGATGCTAAGATGCTGTGAAGATTGTTGAACTGACCACAAAGGATTTAGAATATTACATAAACCTAGTTGATAAAGCAACAACAGGTTTTGAGAGGATTGGCTCCAGTTTTGAAAGAGGTTCAACTGTGGGTTAAATGCTATCAAACAGCATCCCATGTTAGAGAACAATTGTTCAAAAGGAAGTCGATCAATGTGGCAAACTCCACTGCTGCCTTATTTCAAGAAATTGCCACAGCCACCCCAATCTCTGGCAGCCACCACCCTGATCAGTCAGCAGCCATCAACATAGAGGCAAGACCCTCCACCGGCAAAAAGATTATGACTCACTGGAAGTCAGATGACGGTCATTAATTTTTAGCAATAAAATATTTTTTAATTAGGATGTGTACTTTGCCTTTAGACATAATGCTATTGCACAATTAATAGACTATGGTATAGTGTAAAACTAACCTTTATGTGCACTTGGAAACCAGTAAATTCATTTGCAGGAATCTGGAACCGAAGCCACGGTATCTGCTAGGGGCTGTCGGAGGATAAAATAGTGACAAAGGAGATCAAGAAACGGTGTGTAAGTTCCTCCGGGTGATAAATGGCACCAAGATGGAGCAGAATATATAGCAAGAGATTCCAGAACATTTTCCCTGTTCCGGAAATCTTAGGTTATAAGCTGCTGTTCTTGATAAAGGGGCATAAAGCCTTTTTATCATTGTACCTCGAGTTAAGGGGAAAAAAAGGAACTTTCTTAGAGACCTTCCACACTCTGAAATGATATACACTTGTTTGACATTATTATTTTCCTTTTCCCCTCATTAAGACTTGTGAAATAAAGGGAAACCTCACTAAAATAGAGTCCTGAGGCTAGAAGGAGGCGCCTTACCACACAAAGCCATTTACAGGATGAAATGTCAATGACAGATGCCAAGAGAAGAACCCTCAACAGGAAAGAATGAGCAATTACAGGTCCCAAGAGGAGACATACGGACATGTCCTATGAAATCGGGTACCCCTGCCACTCGGCCAATGAGTAGCTGTCATCACCCTGAACTCTGGCAGCTCTCCAGTAGAACTTCCCTTAAAACAACCCCTCCCAACTTCCTCCGGCTCCATAAAATAACATTCCTTGGGCTGCACTATGGTTGTGCTGGATCCTGTTTCCTTGTCCCAGATTGCAATTGTCTACTACAAATAAGAAAGAATAAACCCAATTTTGCTGGTAAAATATCGGACGGTTTTATTTTTGAGGTCGGTAGCCTCCAATCTCCGTGAGTAGTGGGGCTGTTTGATTTATTCCATTTTTCCATGTAGAACTATTCCTTGTGCTGCTCAATTAATACCTGCTGCATAAAGGAATTAAGGAGGCCCACGTGGGGGGAACCCCCCAGAGGGACGAAAGGACCTAGATGAAAGTATGGCCCAGAGCTAGCGTTACAAGTGGAGCCTGAAGAATTTTTTTCCCCTTATCTACAAAAAAGCAAGCAAGGCAAAAAAAGAATCACATTGTTACAGAAAACCGGAAAACCTGGACTGGATCTGTTGGATCCAGGACTGAAGGAAAGTGTAAGATAAATTCTAACTGAAATGAGCAGGCGACGAGAGGCAACAAAGGGTCAGGCAGTTTATTTGAGCGCAATCCCGGGCGAGGTTCACCACTCTGTGCAAATACAGTCTGAAGAACTCGCGCCCAGCCGGGCAGGCAGCGAGTTTTTAAAGAAGGTAGGAGGGAGGCAGAGCTTAGATTTACAGCGGCGCGAGGATTGGCTAGCCTAAGGCACCCTTTTCAGGTTGGGAGGGGGCAGCAGCCGGGGACTTTGGTACGTCATCAGTGTCCCACGTGCTCATCCCTCCCTCCGGTGCCTCCAACCTTACAGAAAGGACTCGGCTCGGTGTCGCAGGGAAGTCAGATATAGTGAGACGAGAGACCAAAGTTAAGAAAACAAAGTAAGTTTTAATACACTCTGCACAGAGTAGCAGAGCGGGCCTGCCTAAGATAGGACAGACAGGCGTGGATGCTCATTCTGAGGCTTCTTTTATGTGGTTTTGGCAGGGCAGAGAGGTCCTTGATTGACAGCTGTCAGCTCTCTAGGCTTGTTCTGATTTGGTGAAGTGGGGACAAGGGCTGTCCTGTGCTTGCTCCTCTTATATTTCTTATCTGGGGGACCCTGGACATTTCCTGAGTCACCCCTGGACCCTGTGGCTTCATCTGATTAACTCTGAGTCATTTCTGGCTGTCTGGTTCCACCTGATCAACTCTCTGAGTCATCTTTGGAGCGCCCTTTCTCCTTTCCATCCAGCTCATTTCTGTCTTTCTGCCTAACAGATCGCTGAGGGGAAAAACCAAGGGGCACTTGGAGGTCTTGGAAGGCAGAGGTTTATTTTACCAAGGCGGGCTCAGAGGAGAGTGATCTCCAAAGGCCATGCCTTTTATACATGTACTACAAAGCTAAGGGGAGAGTCAGCACCCAGAAACTTGCAGTAGGAGGTATTAGGTCACTATAGGTGTATTCAGGATGCTAGTTATATTTTAATTCATTTCTGTAGAGGTTACCCTGATACCGTATTATAAACTAATGGACTTCCATGACTATGATTAACAAGCTGTTCCATACCACTGAGTCAAGGTTGGGGTGTGGAAAACATTGTTACATTGTTTCAATCTCAAGCACCCAAGCACCTTGTGATTCCTTTATATTCTGGAAGCCTTAACAGAAACTTTGTTTCCTTGACTTTCTTAGCTTTCCTGGCTTCCTACCAAACTCGGAGGAGGGGATGGGATTTGAGAACTGAGTATTTCCTCATTAATATCAGGATGTGAAGGTGAGCTGTGTCCCCGTAGGCTGACTCGCAGAACCACCATTTCCGTGAATGAATACCGCTCTCCTCAGACAGGTCTGTGGCCAAGGTTCGAAAGGGCAGGCTGGCTTCCCGCTCTGCTTCAAGGTGACATTATTCTAATTTCATTATTCATGGTATTAACGAAGCATCTTCTGGAAGGAGTGCCAGCCCTCTGGGAGTCTTTTCTCCTAGCTAGGCGGGCTGAGGTCTAGCAGGTAGCGGTGACTTAACTTCCCCAACTTCGCGTCGCTCCTCAGGCTGGCCGGCGGGACCCAGGGGCGGAGGAGGGCTCCCACCGCTCAGGGTGCGCGCCGGACCCACTGAGGAAGAGACCATGGCCAAGATCCGGCTGTCATCTTTCTTAGCACGCCGCTCTAGCCCAACCTCCCATCTCGGCTGCTTTTCTGCCCGCCAACGCGTTTTCTGATTGGTGCGGGTGTGCGCCGTGCGTGATGACGTCAAGAGGCGGCAGCGTTGCTATAAGATTGCGGCTGAGGCGCGTGAGCTCCTCTTTCTCAGTCACCGGGGGTTCGTGTGAGGTGAGCTCTGCTGCCGTACTTTTTAGCCCGGGTGTGGGTGTAAGAGCGTGTGGGTTTCCGGAGCTTTAATGAGTACGCTAAAGAGGTCGCAAGTGATGAGGGTGGCTGGACAGCACTGCAATACGGCTGTGCGGCTGCTATCGGGTATAAAAGCCTCAGGGACAGCTCTCGCGATAGTTTGGGGTGCTACGAGGTTCCAGTGCAGTGGGTGTGCGCAGGTGCCGCCAGGCGTTCTCACGCTCAGCTTGTATTCTCGCGCAGGCGCAGACGGAGAAGTGGGGCCAACATGCCAGTGGCCCGGAGCTGGGTTTGTCGCAAAACGTATGTGACCCCGCGGAGACCCTTCGAGAAATCTCGCCTCGACCAAGAGTTGAAGCTGATCGGTGAGTGACCAGAACGAGTTTTTGCTTCTCGGGTCGGGGAAGGCTAGCAGGTTGGTGAGGTCGCCCACGTGCTCGGTCTGTTAAAATCCTCCGGTGTGAGCCAGCCCGCCTCTTCCTCAAGGTCAGGAATGGTGGTGGTTTAGAAAGGCTGTGTTCCGAAGCCACCACACCCGCTTTGGCACGAGGCCGTGGGACTCAGCCTGTTGGCGCTCAGCCATCCCCCTGTGTTTGCAGGCGAATACGGGCTCCGGAACAAACGTGAGGTCTGGAGGGTCAAATTTACCTTGGCCAAGATCCGCAAGGCGGCCCGGGAGCTGCTGACGCTGGACGAGAAAGACCCGCGGCGTCTGTTTGAAGGTGTGTGTGTGCGCGCGCGCCCCCCATGGGGAAGGATGAGGTGCTCCTGTCCACTGATCGGCGTGAGCATGGAACAGTTGCATCAGATGTTAGTGGGAACAGCGCGTCTGGATCCAAGTCTCTTTTGTTGTGTGCATGGCTGATTTACACGAACGGTGGTGCCCCCCTTCTTGACTAGAACTGATAATGCCAAGCAGGCTTGGGCACCAGGCTGTAGCTGTGTGTAATGTGGCAGAGATTCTTACTGATCTCGCTTGCCAGTGGTGGAATAGGCCCGCGCTTCTGGCACTGACAGCCGGAGGGGAAAGGGGCTTGGCCTGTGCCCTTCCTCATCCCTTCAGTTCAGGGAGGGATGTACAGCAGAGGCCTAACCGGGGAGAGGACCTGTGGGTGTCGCTGGGAAGGACGTCTCAGGTGATAATCTGGGGAGGGGGTGCAAGTACACAGGAGCTGGAGATTTTTTTTTTTAACTGGGAAGATGAACAACGAAATTTATCATCTTGACCAAATTTTAGATTCCTTTGCTTAAGGTGTTAGATTTCCATTTTGAGATGATGAGTCAGTGGAGGGCTTTCCAGAGCAAAGATTGACATACCACACAATTTTACCAACTCCACTCAGACTAAGGAGATGACAACGTTAAAGTAGTTGATACCTTCTTATAGACTAAGTGCCCTTTTTAAGCCTTTTCTGCACGTTAATTACATGAGAGCTTTTTTTTAGAGGAATTCTAGGGACCCTAACTCCAAAATAATAATCTTATCTGTTAACTGTTATGTATCCCTACATTGTACCTCTGGTATGTGTATGTATGTGATTGTAATGTTGAGGAAATACACAGAAAGTTCTCAAATCCGCCCCCCATCCCCCACCCCCTCCGGGTTTGGTAGGAAGCCAGGAAAGCTAAGAAAGTAAAGGAAACAAGGTTTCTCTTCAGGCTTCCAGAATGTAAAGGGATCATAAGATGCTTGGGTGCTTGAGATTTGAACAGTGTGACAGTGTATTCCCCCCATTCCCACCCCAACCTTGACTCTGGTATGAAACAGCTTATTAATCATAGTCATGGAAGCCCATTAGTTTATAATAAGGTATCAGGGTAACCTTTACAGAAATGGATTAAAATATAACTAGCATCCTGAATACACCTATAAGTGACCTAGTAGCTCCTACTGCAAGTTTCTGGGTGCTGACTCCCCCCTTAGTTTTGTAGTAAATGTATAAAATGCATGGCCCTGCTGTACTCAGGGCTCAGGCCTTTGGAGATCACTCTCCTCTGAGCCCACGGGTGTAAAATAAACCTCCGCCTTCCAAGACCTCCTAGTGCTGCTTGGTTCTTCTGTCAGTGATCCAGTCCAGGTTTTCTGTAACAGTAACAGATTTGAGGTCTGGCTGTACATATTTCTGTAACTTGTTTACAACAGCTTTATCCCTAACGCTGGGGACCAGGCCACAGCTAGTGCTGGTCTCTGGGAGGACTGTAAACGCACTGGAGTCCGAGGTTGGGGCAGGTGAGCGGCAGGGGACCATGGTTTCTGGTGGTTTTCCAGGGCAGAAGTGGGGGCTGCAAGGGGAAGGGCTTTCTCCTGATCCTGACTGAGACCTTTCTGCCACGGATAGGCAGGAGGAGCCTGTGGGCTCTGCCTCTGTCTCTGGAGGCTTTTGTTCACTGGCACAGCCTGACGCTTCACGGTGTGGGGCTTTGGGCAAGAAGGTTCTCTGAGTCTCCCTTGCTAGAAAGGCTTCAGCTCTTAGCAGCAGCCAACATTTGGCTGGCAGTTCATTGAGACATAGGCATGAACTCCATCCTCACCACAGCTTAAAAATGTGTTACATCTAACCTCGAGACAAGTGCTGGGCATAGAAGCCACAAGGCATAAATCTGCAAAGAAGTAAAAAAGCTAACCTTTGCAAACAATATGGCTTCTCTCTCACTTACCAACTTTACATTTCCCTGTATGGCCCCGGAAGATGACTGGTTAGCCAGAGACGGGTAAGATTCCTCAAGGGAGGAACAACCTAAGACAGGCACAGTCGCAGGGGGGCCATCAGGTGAGAATTTGGGGATCAACAGAGGTGAGGCTCAGAACCTCACCCCCCCTGCTTTGAGAGAAATCTGCATCCGTGGATGTCTTGCTGCCCTTGTCTAGCCTGGATTAATACTTAGTCCATAGGCACACACCTGATCATCTGATCATCTACATTTGCCTTCTTACAGCACTAGACTATGTTTTCTACCTTTATCTTGCATCTACCTACCACTTCAGCATTTTATTAAAAATAAAAATAATAATAATAATAATAGGAGAAATGTGGGATCAACATATAAATCAAGTACAAAAATCAAACGAATATTCATATTTGACCTGATTGTTTATGGTTCATAATGCGTGATCAAAACCGAAAGTTTCTATGATGAATGCCCTTGTACAGTTCACCATGTAAGAATTTATTCACTATGTAAGAATTCGTTCACCATGTAAGAACTTGTTCGTTATGCTTCAGAAGATTGGAGACTGATGAGAATTAGGCTTGAGATGGATTAATGATTGTACATTGAGGGTTGACCCCCCTATACTGAATTTTATTGTTGTTAACCATTTGATCAATAAATATGAGAGATGCCCTCTCAAAAATAAATAAATAAATAAATAAATAAAATGTGTTACTTCTATTCTTCAGGTCAGAAACAGCCACTTTAATGCTTGCTTTGTATCATAATTACAAGGGAGGGTCTCTGCCCACTGGGTTGCATTTGTAAAACATTCTGTTAGTGGCTCCCACGGAGGTTTCATCTGCATTGACAGTTACTGTCACACCTGGTGAGAATTCTGTGTTGGTGGAATGCCTGGCCCTCCCCGTTGTTGTCTTTTCTTTAAGATGTAGATGTTTTAAATGTGTACCTGAAATATCATTATAATGATGGTGGTTTTATCTTATCTGAAAGTCTCTGAGATTTTAACCTTGGGCAATTGAGAAGTGTTGCTGACCTGATAGCTTCCTGTGCAGGGATCGATCTTACAAGTGAGGCCACAGTTCTGTCTCTGACCTCCTCACTCAGCAGAGTGCCCCTAGGGCTCTTGCAGATGGCCTGGTTAGGGCTGAGTAGCCCTCTGTTGTATACACGTCACCACAGAGTCTCCATTTACCCCTCAGTCAGCGCTTTGGTTGTTCCGTGTCTCAGCTGTTGTTAAATAATTCTGCAGGGAACACAGGGGTGCAGATGCCTTTGGTTTGTTTTTTGTTTTTTCTTTACAGATAAATACCCAGAAGTGGAATTGCTGGGTCGTACAGTAGATCTGCTTTTCATTTCTTGATGAACCTCCATATTGCTTTCCGCGGTAGCTGCACCATGTCCGTCCCCACCAGTGGTGCCTGAGGTTCCTGTGCCCCCATCCTCCAGCTCTTGTTACCTCACAAGTGTGAGCTGACAGCTCTTGGTTTGGGTTTGCATTTCCCTGGTGAAAGCACTCAGCACCTTTCTGTGTGCCCATTGACCACCTGTACGGCTTTGGGGAAATGTCTGTTCACATCCTCTGCTCATTTTTTAACTGCATTGCTTGTTCGGCTGTTGAAGTGTGTGAGGTCTTTGTCCATTCTGGGTGTTGACCCCCAACCCCTTTTCAGATAGTACGGTTTGCAGGCACTCCTGTCCCATAGGCTACCTTGTTGTTTTGTGCATAGTGTCCTGTGCTGTGCAGAGGCTTTACTTTGATGCGGTTCCACTTCATAATTGTTGCTTGTGATTTGGTGTCATATCATACTGCCAAGACCCATGTCGGGGAGCTTACGTCTATGTTTGCATAGGAGTTTCATGATTCAGGTCTTAGTGTCAGGTCTTTAATCTGCTTCACTTACGTTTTGTGTGTCAGAGGTCCAGTGTCACTCTTGCATGTATGTGGCTTACCAATATTCTCAACACCATTTATTGAAGAGAGTGTCTTTTCCCTGTCACATATTTTACCTCCTCGTTGTGAATTAATTGACCGCTAATGTACGTGGGTTTGTTTCTGGGCTCTGTTCTGTCCTGGGTCTTTGTGTCTGTTCCGCCAGAGCCCTCCTGTTGTGATCACTACTGTGGTGTGAAATTGGCGTGTGATGCCCCCAGTTGGTCCTTCCTCAGGATGGCTTTGGCTTTGGCTTTTCGCGTCTTGTGCTTGTGCACAAGCTGGAGCATTGTTTGTTCTCTTCCTGTGAACAACGCCGTTGGAATTTTGACAGAGATCGCACTGAACTTGTGGACTGCTTTGGGCGGCATGGCCATTTTAATCGTATTCTTCCAATCCATGAGCACGGGGTTTGCACTTACCCATGTCTTCAGTCTCTTTCTTCTGTGTACAGGCCCTTCATCTTTTTAAGGAAATGAAGTTACCCTAGTGCCCAGATGTTAGCTAGCTTTAAGCCTGTGTGGTGATAATGGCTGGGCTGGGAAGGGGCTTGGCCCCGGGGTCTCAAGGGCAGTCCAGAGTAGTGGTCAGGAGCTGCGGCCAGGTACCGAGGCCTCCTGAGCCTGGAGTGGTTGGAAGAAGGGGGGAAGCTGACCTCAAGGTTACTTCATGCTGCGCATCATTAGGTTACAGCCACATCATCTTTTTTTAGTGGAGAATCGTACGTATAAAGCGAATAGCACAATTAATGTTGAGCACATTCTGTCTTAGACTTTTCACAGGCCCAAAAGTGAGGTTCCAATTCCATAGATGAGGAAGATAGCTTCCCACAGTGCTTCCTTAGGGCAGTGGTGGTTTACCAGCAGCCCCTGGTGTTTCCAGATGATTCAAGGCCTCTTACGGGAATTGTCTCGTTTTCTGCCCTAATGGCTCTGAGGAGGGTGGTGCTCCTGTTCTCAGATGAAAACCGGTGGCACAGTGGCCTGCCTTTGGGTGTGAGGGTCCCATGAGTTGCATGGGCTAGTGTGCGGGCCCTGTGTCACGGTTCCCTCTGACCTACGTGTGCCCCACCACAGCACAGCTACCAGGGCATGGGTCTGAACCCAGGACATCTGCAGTCAGCTGGAACCCGCATCAGGTGTCCTTCCTCTCTTCTCAGGCAATGCCCTGCTGCGGCGACTCGTCCGCATCGGGGTGCTGGATGAGGGCAAGATGAAGCTGGATTACATCCTGGGCCTGAAGATCGAGGACTTCCTGGAGAGGCGCCTGCAGACCCAGGTCTTCAAGCTGGGCTTGGCCAAGTCCATCCATCATGCCCGTGTGCTGATCCGCCAGCGCCACATCAGGTAGCCCCTCTGGGCTCCCCTAGTCTTGTCCCTGCGCTGTCCCCTATGATGGTTGCCCCTCACTAAGCCTGCTGTCGCTGTCTCCTGTGCAGCCCTTGGAGGTGACAAAGAAATGAGCTCACCTTGAGGGTGCAGACTGACCCCCTGCAAACAGCTCGTTGGGGGTTCTAGGGACAGCCTCATCCCCCCCCCGTAGCCCAGCGCAAGGGTCACTGCGGCCTGAGCCGTACACCTTGTGAAGGCTTCTGCTGGGCACGCAGGCAGCTGGAGCTGGACAGGTAACAGCTCCTGGAGCCATTACTGAAATCACTGGGCTTCTGGGCCCGCTTGTGAAGTCTGTCCAGACCCTGGTCACCACCACATCCTCACAGTCCAGGGTCATGCTGTGTGCCAGGGACTCAGAGCTGGCTGGCTCGGGTGGCAGGTGGTGCAAAGCAGACCAGTCAGAGGGCACGTGGGTCTTTACCTGGGTTCTCAGTTTGCCGTTCCTGCAAAGTGGGCACTACTGTGGGGAAGCTGCAGTAAGTGGGTGACATACTTGGCCCCTGCATCTTCCCCAGCCATTCAATATCCCTGTGACCTCTGGGCAAGAGCCTCACTACACTTACTTGTGAAGTCACCCCCAAGAACCTAGCCTCACATGTCTGCCCAGTTAGAGTATTTGAAAATCTGGCCTGGGGTCCATATGCGCAGACCTCAGCTCACCCCTGTGGTCGTATGGGCTGCTTCCAAGTTTCCCTGCACTTCCGTGAGATGCAGGTGTGGATGGAACCCGTCTGGGCCTTTGTGTGAATTAGGGGGTGCCTGAGGCTTTCCCTGGGCCCAGGGTGCCCTTCGGTGCTGTGCAGCTTCAGGGTTGGCACCGCTGTGGCCCCAGCCTGGAGTCTGGGCTCACCAGGGCCCTGCTCCCCCGGCCCCCTCACCTGCCACCCCCACCCCACGCAGGGTCCGAAAGCAGGTGGTGAACATCCCGTCCTTCATCGTCCGCCTGGACTCCCAGAAGCACATTGACTTCTCCCTGCGCTCTCCCTACGGCGGCGGCCGCCCTGGCCGCGTGAAGAGGAAGAACGCCAAGAAGGGCCAGGGAGGGGCTGGAGCTGGTGACGACGAGGAGGAGGATTAAGCCCACCCTCTCCCCCTTGGGCTGGGGGTTGTCTGGTTTCCCAGGCAGATAATAAAGCAGGACTCACACCTTGTAACGTGTGTGCCTCTCACCCCCTCTGAGCCACAGCCTGGTGTAGTGGGAAGGGCGCAGAGCAGGTTGTGCTTGCTTTAGGAGGGCCTGGTCAGCTGTGTGGGCTGCCTGCCCGTCGTCCTCTTGGGGAGGGGCTACAGCACTGAGCAGGACCAGCACCTTCCCACACCTCTGTCACGGGGTCAGGGGAGCGTCCTGGGGGGCAGAGCCAGCCATTAGTGCATGGGGTGCAGTGGGAAGGAGTCACTTCCAGGCAGAGCAGGTGGCAAGTGGAGGTCAGGGTCAGGCACATTGGGGCAAGGAGCCGAGAGCTGATCCCACGCAGATACCACCTGGGGTTGCTGGTGATGAACAGACTGGTTTTTGGTGGGGAACACTAGACAGAATCACAGGCTGCTTTCGAAGCTTGTTAAGGTCAAGACTGGTGGCAAGTTCCCAATTGTGGGTCTTAAGATACAGATTTGGGGAAGTGGAAGTCCTCCGCATCAGTGGCCTGTGGGAAACAGGCGTCTAAGGACACCTGGGGGTGGGACGGCAGGCTTCCCTTTTTCTGTTTGGTGAGCTGCACTGGGCCAGGAAGGGAAGGGGCTTGGTCTCAGGAAATGAGAAAGTGAGAAGGGTTTGGAGTTGAGCAACCCCCTCACAGGCTGCAGCGGGTCCCTGTCTGGGGGCTTTTGGACTCAGAGGTCAGCCAAGTGCACAGCTTCAGGCCCTGCTGAGTTGCTGTGGGGCCTACAGGAGATTCCCCAAGTCCTTGGCCTTCCCCCTCCTTCACAGGCTGGGGTTGCTTGCCACTTGACACAGGTTCCTGGTGGCAGTTCTGAGGGATCTTTGGGGGGCTGTAAGGTGGGCTGTGAGCCTGGGAAGCAGGCAGCTCCTGGTGGTCCGTGTCTGGTCTCCAGGCTGGCCTCAGTCTAGTCTCTCCCTGGCATGGGAGTCTGGTCCTTCCTGGGCTAGCGGGTGGCCAGAGCCGCATACACGCTGGGCTCTGCTGGGGGCTCCCCTGGTTGGGAGGGAGGGGGCGCCCGTGTTGCCTGTCCAAGGGTCAGGTGGTTCAGCTCTGCGTAGGTCACCTGGGGCTCTTCAGATGCTCTGGCCTGAGGGGAGGAGGGGGAAGCCTGAGGCCTGGTGAGGAAAGGGTGCACTTACTGGGGGGTCTTGGGTCTTTGGGGCTGTGCTAGGGACCAGGCCTCCTTGCCTCCTTGCCCTCCAGGCTGCCTGGGAAGAAGGGAAGAAGGTGGGGGGGGTGTGACAGGGACATGGGGAGCTGTCATGTGGTGCGGGAAGAGGTGGGGCCTGAGGTGGGATGGGGCATGGAGAGGGGGCCATTCACTGGGGTGAGCTGGTGGCCTATGTACCCTTCAAGGCAACAGCCATTGGGCAGATGGGACACTGCGGTAGGCTTTAGGTCCCCTTGCGCAGGCACAGGACGTTCAGCCTTTACACCAGGCTGCCCGCTTGAAGGTCACACCAGACCGGCGTAAGAGAGTGAGGGGAAGGGTCACGCAGCCTGGAGTGGCCGGCTGGAAAGGAGAGGCTGGGAGGGTGCTGCCCGCTGGGTCTGCACCATGACAAGGAGGCGTGTGGCCTGGCCAGTACCAGCGGGAGCTCACCTGACTCGCCAGCTGCCTGTCGTCCTCAGGCTGTGTGTCTTTCACGACTTCATCTGTTGGGAACAAAACAAAGTCCCCATCTTTTGCCAAGATTCCACACGTGGCAGAGGCTTGGAGAGGGTCTGCCGGGGCTAAGGCTGCCCAGCACCAGATCTCGCCAAGTCGCCCCCCCCGGCCAGAGCATTTTCCACCCAGTCTCCATCCCCGCCGCCTGCTCGCGTCCCGGGGCGGCCCCCTCTCCTGCTCACAGAGGGTCTCCTCCTGGTCATCCGCAGTGGGGCCAGAGCTGGGGAGGAGATGGACGGTCAGGGGCCAAGGGGACATGGGTGGGGTTTTGGGGGTCTCTGGGAGAGGTCTCACCTGCTCTGTGGGCCTCTGTCCTTCGGTGCTATAGCTGCGGCTCCTGCGGAGAGGGGGAGGGGAGTCAGCCTCCGGCCCAGCCCAAACCCTCCCCTGGGGTTGCATTCACATCCACAGGGGATCTAGGGGCTGAAAAGACTGAGTCCATCTCCAGGTGGACTTCAAGAAAAAGCTATCGTCAAACCACAAAACCCATAGGTTCTCAAATATTTTGTACGTTTGAAAAGGCAGAGGATCCTCTGAAACACGTGTTCTCATATTTGATCCCTTCACGTTTTCTCATGGGAGGTAAATGCTGGAGTTTTACTAAGCTGACCTTTCCCCACCCTGGTTCCCCCCGGGTTGAGCCCCGGGAGCCCCTCCTGGGCCCCGGCTCCCCCGTCCCGACTCACCCGGCTTCCTGCGTCTGCGCAGCCGCTGGCGGCGGAGCAGGAGCAGCAGCAGGACGGCCAGCAGGAGGGCGCAGGCCGCGGAGACCCCGACGAGGACCAGCACCGGCCACTCCAGACCTGGGGCTGGGCGGAGTGCAGGGCCATTCAGGGGCGCCCGCTGGGGGCCAGGCACGGTGTCCCTCCAACTCTGCCCGCAGGCCGCCCACCACCCACGTTACAGGCCAGGAGCGGGGGTGGGAGGGGCCCGGGACTGGCTCCCTGTGCCCCCCTCCTGCCCCCGGGGGGGACGGGGGACAAGCTGAGGGTCTGTCCTTATCACCTTGCACCTGAACACCCGATATCGCCCTACTTCCCCACCCTGAGCAATGTCACCCTCACTGTGCAGACGGGACAGGCCCTGGACGACCAAGCTCAGACAGGACAGGACAGGGCCCCTCCTCACCTGAGACCCGGAGCCCCAGGGGGTCACTGGGGTGTGACAGCAGGAAGGGGGAGCTGCTGTTTGAGCTGTAGCACCTGTAGGTGCCCCCATGGGCTGAGGTGACAGGGCTCAAGGTGAAGCTGGCCCGGAAGGGTGCAGCTGTGTCTCTCCCTCGAAGGTGCTGGGGAGGAGCAGGTGACCCCTCCTTGGACAGATGGAAGGAGTCCCCCCAGAGCTCAGAGAGGCACTGCAGGGTTACAGTCTCTCCCCAGGACACAGAGGGCCCCGGCTGGACCGAGAGGGAAGGTTTCTCGGACATTCCTGGGGAGGGGAAGGGCTTGGTGTGTAGAGAGCTGCCCCCTCCCCACACACCGTGCACCCGGAGCTGAGGGTCAGTCTCTCCCCAGGACACAGAGGGCCCCAGCTGGGCGGAGAGGGAGGGTTTCTCAGACATTCCTGGGGAGGGGAAGGGCTTGGTGTGTAGAGAGCTGCCCCCTCCCCACACACCGTGCACCCGGAGCTGAGGGTCTCAGTCCTCTCTGCAGGAACTCTGACCCCTTTCGGCTGCCCTCAGTCTCTGGGGAGGGGTCTCTGTCTCCGAGCCCCTCGGTGCCCCTTTCTCACTCCCTCCCCTCGGACCCCTGGCCCACCTCAGCCTCTGCTCCAAGATCCCTTCCCTGGCCCCCATCACCACCTGGGTCACCAGGGGCCCAGCGCCTGAGCAGACAGGACCCAGGCAGGGAGGGGACCTCACCCGTGACCAGGACGTCCAGGGGGGCGCTGGGGGCCGACCACACATGGGACACATTGTGTGCCCCGTAGCATCTGTACCGGCCCCCGTGGGTGCCATTCGCTTGGCCCAGGGGGAAGTCGGGGCTGGGCTGCCCGTCCAGACGCTGGGGGGTCGGGAGCCCCTCCTTGGTCAGGGCGAATCTGTCAAAGCCGGCCTCCGAGCGACACTGCAGGGTCAGGCTGTGTCCAGACGGCACCAGCGCGCCAGGCCGGGCCGAGAGGGAGGGCGCCTTGTACACGCCTGGAGGGGGACAGGCCCCTGGGGCTGCAGTGGCTATGCCCACTGGTTCCTCCCCAGCCTCCCGTCTTGGCTGCTGGCCCCAGGACACCAGCGTCACTGGCCCTCTCCCGCCCAGGCTTCCACGGGCCGGTCACTTTGGGGTCAGGAAATAGCCAGGGCTGAGCCAACCTCCCCTCACCTGTGACCTCTAGGGCCAGAGGGCCGCTGGGGTGTGACCACACGTAGGGGTAAGCCATGGGAGAGCTGTAGCATCTGTAGGTCCCGCCACGGGAGGTGGTCACGGGGTCCACGTGGAAGCGGGCCTGCCACCCCCTAGCAGAGGGCTGTGCAGCCACGTGTTGTGGCCCGTCAGCTCCTCCCTCCTTCAGCAGGTGGAAAGTGCCCCCTGTGAACTCTGACCTACACCTGAGGGACACAGTCCCTCCTGACGCCACCACAGGGCTTGGGTCAGCCCAGAGGGAGGGTGGGTCGTACACTCCTGCGGGAGAGAGCAGAGCCGGGTTAGACGTGTGGACGGCGAGGGGGCAGGTCCCCTGGGGGAGGGGCCTCCATGGGGAGGGGTCTCCGGGGGAGGGGTCTCCGGGGGGAGGGTCTGGCGCCTCCCCTCACCTGTCACCACCAGGGCCAGGGGGTCACTCCACTCTGAGCCGCTCCTGCTGTGAAACCCACACTGGTACCGTCCTGCGCGGTGTGCGCTCATGGGCCCGACGGGGAAACTGGCCTCGTCCCTGAACTCATCCTGGGCTACCAGGGTCCAGCGTCCGGAGTACTCTTTATACAGACTGTACCTGACAGCTTGCGGAGGCCCCTGACAGTGGATGGTCACAGGGCTGCCGTTGGTGACCACGGAGCCCGGGTCAGCCCAGATGGAGGGCTTGGGGAGGGTCCCTGGAAAGGAATCAGACCTGGAGTCCGGGGGCGCCCTTCCCCCATCCCCGGCTGTCACTCCGAGGCCCCCGGGGGGTCCCCGCGGGCCCAGAGCCCCTGTGCTCCCAGCTGCCCAGGGGCCGTGAAGCGGGAGGCCCGGGGAGGACTCACCCGCCTGCATGCGGTCCCGGGGGCCCCGACACAGCCCTGGAAGAGAGCCCCTCTGAGCGGCCCACCCGGAAGCTCAGCCTGGCTGGGCCCCGAGCGCTGGGGTCCCTTCTGGGACTGAGCGCACTCTCCCCTCCCACCCCAGAGGTCCTGCCCCACTGAGCCCCCGCGCCCCGAGGGGTCAGGCCCAGGCCTGGGAGGGCAGGGCGGCCCCATCCCTCCCCTTCCCCCATAGCTCACCAAGGCAGAGAAGGGTAGCGAGGGTCGTCGTCGAGGCGCTGCCCCCCATGTCCCCGAGGCCAGACAGACAGACACGGGGCGTGCTGACAAGGACAGCCCCCTGTGCGTCGTCTCAGGTTCCTCTCCAGGGACCTCTCCGGAGGAAACAGCCCCCAGCGCCCCGCTCTGCTCCCTGAAGGACGGGGCCGAGGCCGCAGCAGGCTCTGGGACCCTTCAGAGCAGAGCTGCCTCCAGACCCCACAAGCTCCACCACCCGCAGAGGGCAGGGCGCCCAGCCCGACTTCTGCTCCAGTTGCGCCCTCAGAGCCCGTGTGTCTGGGCAAGTCACTTCCCCTCCTGAGGCTCCGTAAATGCAAATTTCTTCCTTCCTTCCACCATTCAGGCAATCAGGCGACTACTGGGCAGTCACCCTGTCTGGGCTCGGAGCCAGCCCCTGGGGATTCGCTGGTGGAGCCACTTTAGGTGGCGAACAATGCTGGCGTAGTCCTGTAAGCCTCCCAAGTTGGAAGAACACGAGATTCAGTAACAGGTGGCCTGGGTCCTGAGTGATGGAGTGGCCCTCGGTGCGAGCAGGGATGAGCCCCGCGGCGGCCCTGCCTCCCAGCAGAACATCTGAGCTGTTCTCAGAGTGGAGAGCCGTCAGGAGGAGGCTGGGGCCTGGCCGCACAGGGTCGCAGTGAGCACCACTCTAGTATTTGGGCTTTTATTTAAGGCAGTGGAAGATTTTAAGCACCAGAGCATATGAACAGATTTCTGTTTTAAATAAACCATGTAGAAAACGTAGTAACAGGAGGGCCCCATGGATAATTAACTCTTATGAGTAGTGAGCGTCGAACATTCATCTGGCGCCCGGATGACCACTATTTTACCAGCATTCATGTGGTTTTTGTGTGTAACTGCTACAAAGCTGTCACACAGAAGGCATCGCTGAGAGTGGAATGAGACAGAGTGACTACATGGTGCGGAAGGTTGGAAAGGAGCTGGCTGGGCTCAGGGTGGCTGAGAGCGCCGCCCCAGAGAAGGCAAAGAACTGACAGACAGCTGGCTGTGGGTGTGCCTGGGGAGGTGGGGTTGACTTGGTGACCTTGGTGGTGGAGGGCGCGTTGTGCCCCCTGGCAGGTGGCTTTTGCTCTGGCCTGACCATCCCCAGCCTTGAATACGAGATGGTGCAGCTTGAACCTCTTTGAAGGGGGAAAGTATTAGAGGGTTTTGAGTGGGCAGAGCAGACGGATTAGTAGGAGAGCACTTTGGGGCTGGAAGGCAGCAGATGTGAGGGCCCAGTCAGGACAAGGGGCTGGAAGGGCTGGGGGACTTGCTGACGAGGGCCTGGCCCAGCCGAGCGGATTTGATGATGGGTGTGAGTGCCAGCGAGCACCTGGCGCTAACCACATCCATCCATCATTCCTGGTACCTGGAGCAGCCAGTGGGGTGGGGAAGGAGGGCCCAGGGCAGGGGGAGGCATCCGGAGATGCTTCCAAGACTGGAGGTCGTTGCCCAGAAGAATGCTTGACCCTCTCTGGCCCTGGGATTGCAGGTTTTCTAGCCCAGCGCTTCCCTGTGCAGACTCCCCGGTTCCTGTAAGTTAGCACCCGCTTTCCCTCACTGACTTCCTTCAGAAGCGAAGCCCTGTTCTCCTTCCTGGGCAGAGCTCTTCATCCCACACTGAATTCCTCCTCTAGGCCCTGGGTAAGAGCACAGAGCACGCGTTGGAGGCAATTCAGGGATTCTCACTGAAATTAGAGCCTGAACATTTACTGGGTGTCCATCTTGAGCAGGCACCTCGCCTTCCCAAGCTCCTTTTCCCCACAGTGGGGTGACAACCTCTCTTCTCAGGACTGTGGTGGTATCCAAGACATGCAGGGGCTCATTCTGTCTGGTCTTGCGGAGGCCGTGACAGCGCCCACGGAATATAGGCCCTGGGATGGTTACAGTGCCAGCGTTCATACCAATGGCCTGATGGAAGGCCACAGCCAGCTTTCAACGCCAAGTGCTGGATAAATGTCTGTGTAATACATGGCCACAGTGAAAACAAATTTCTGTCACCCAAGTGTCAGAAACACAGAGTGAATCTAGAGGCAGGCATAGCTCAGAGCTGGCGGCCTGCTCGCTGTGGTGCCAAGGACGGGCCCAGGACCTGCTTGCTGTGCTGTGTAGAGACCCAGAGGCAGTAGTGGGTTCCTGGGGGGAAGCTGGGACTCCGAGCCTGGGACTTGCTGGTGACGGGTGGTGCGACATCTCCACTCACACACCTGAGGTCATGCCCAGAGTTCAGTCCTTTCTCTAGGAGTGAGTGGAGAATATCTCCCAGGGTGGGCAGATACCAGTGTACACCCCCACCTAGTGTGGGGCTCAGCTTCGAATAATCTATTCATTGCCAAAACCCTGAGCAGAACATTGAGTTTGAAACACATTCGAACTGTTGAGTCTGAAGCAACTGCAAACTGGTCACTTATTTAGGACTTTACAACCCAGGTAAATATGGATTACAACTTCGTGAAGGATTATCTCAATGGTAAAATGACAAAGCATATGAGATCACGCAGTGCCATGAAAAATAGACTACAGACCCAATCATTATGGGACTTCCCAATCAGGCAAGGAAGATAAAATAGACAATTGGAAAGAGATTTAAAAATAAGCATGCTTTAAATCCTCAGTCACTTAGAGGAAGATGTGACATCCATGATACAAGAGTTGTTTAATAAAAAAAGGTGTTATTGAAATTTCATAAGTAAAAAGTCATCTACTGAATGAAAGACTTTGCAGATCTATTCCATAATAGACAGTAGATAGTCAGAAAATTGGGGAATTGGAAAATGAAGCTCAGAAAGTACCACACAGTGCAGCTGATATAAAAATATAAACCAAAAGATAAAATCTGAGTCATGGAGAACCAAATAAGGAGGTCCCAAAACATATGTCATTCACTGTAAGTGCGGGAAAATGAAAAAATGATCAAGTGGTAAGAATCAGAAAGAATTGTTAAGGGTTTTTTAGAAATGAAACAAGAGAAATGGTCAGCTAGGCTTTGAAAACCGAACTGTTACTGGGAAATAATCCCTCGAAAGCAGGTCAGAACTTCCAGGTGGTACCTAACCAGGGTGATAACCTGCTCAAGCAAAAATCCACATTCTCCAGAAGATGTTACCAGAACCCAATGGCTTATGACATAATATTCAAAGAAGCAGGAGAAGCTTATAACCTCCAAATGAAAGAACAATCAACAGACACCCACCCTGAGTTGGCCAACAGTTTAATGCCAGTTTTATAACCAAGCTTCATGAAATAAGGACAGACACTTTTGAAATGAGTGAAAAACAGGCATTCTCGGCATAGAAATATAAAGTATAAAACAGAAGAAAAAGGGAACTTTAGAACTAAAAAAATACAGAAACTCAAGTCATTGTGCCTAATGGCAGAATGAAGAAGACAGAGGCAGGAGTTACTGAACTTGCAGGCAGACAAGCGAAAATACAATCTGAACAGTAGAGGACAAAAGAGATTAAAAAAAAAAATGAACACAGACTCAGAGATCTGTGAGACAATTTATAGAACTGATGTCCTAGCAGCAGAATAATAATCTCAATGAAGGAAACAACATTGAAGAAATAGCAGACCATTTCACAGAGTTGTCGGAAGTCATACACTTGCATGTCCAAGATAATCAGCAAATACAAAGTAAGATAAGCTTTACAAACCATGCGTAAAGAGGAAAAATGACTTGAATGGCTACAGTTCCACATCAGACACTATCACGGTCAGAAAATTTGAAAGTTCTGAGAGACAAGAGCCAACCTAGAATTCTGGATATACTCTCATGGAATGAAAACTAAATAAAGTCATTCTTCAAGGAAGGAACTCAGAATTTGTTGCCACTAGACCTGATCTACAAGAAATGGTAAGGTAAGTTCTTTGGGCAGGAAGGAAATATTCTAGAAGGAAACTGGGGGATTCAAGTGTATAAGGAAGAGCAAAAAATGTTATAGCCTATTTTTCTCCTCCTAAGTCCTTTAAAATATTAATGGATATTGAAAACAAAATGAGAACATTATCTGGTGGGGTTTCTAATGTAGGCAGGTGTAATATATACAACACCACTGCCAAGGGGTGAGGGTAACGGGGCCCCTGTGGGTGTAAGGCTCCTCCCTTCTCTTGAGGAAGTAAACTGAACTCTCCAGAGACCCTGTGAAATAACGGGAGGATATTGTGCTGCCTACAACAGCCACTCAAAAGCAGGCCAACATGAAGGCGTAAAGAACACGGATAAACACTCAGTCACAGAAGTCGGCCGCCTCTGCCAGCTGTAAGAGGGCAAGGAGACAGATTCTTGCTGCAGAGCTACCAGAAGCCATCAGCCTCCTGCCACCCCGACCTAGGTGTGTGGCCATTGGTTACGGCAGCAGGAAGCTGCCACAGCCACAGCCACTTCTTGCATTATTTTTTGTGTGTGCTTTGTATGCACCTGAAATACTGTGTAAAAGTTTTTTCCAAAGAGAATTCAGTGTGGTGGGAAGAGCTCAGACTTCTGAGAAAGACCAGGTTTTGATCCCAGCTCTGCTACCTACTAGATGGGTGACCTGAGGCACGTCGTTTCTCCTCCAGGCCTTGCCCTGCTCTGTGAGAGCAGATGTGAATGCCCACACTTCCCAGGACCGTCCAAAAGGCTCAAATCACAAACTCCACATTTATTAGACAAGTTTATTGAGACCTCTTGGGACTTAGGCCCTGTAGAAAACAGAGATGAATCAAACCCAGTCTATGGCAACTATGAAAACAACACAGCCAATAAGTGCTTTGAAACAGAAAGGGACATAATAAGGATGTAGTGTTTATAATTCTGAAATCAAAAACTAACCAGAGAGAGAGGCAGGAGGGTGTTCTAGCCTCCCACACAGAGATGAGCTTGGGACCATCTAGAAAGGCTTTTGCCACAGATGCAGCCACATCCCTGTAGGTCTCTGGTGTTCACTGCAGACTGGCCCACTGCAGGGAAGTGTAGACCACCTTACCATCAGGCTGCGGAGAACAGAGGAGCAGCGTCTTTCTGACGCTGGTTCCAAGACGGCCGGCAGAAACCAGGTCCTGCAGTGGGATGGGGTCCCCAGGAGCCCAGCACTGAGCGATGTAGTGGGCGTGGAAACGAAGGGGGTCACCTGGGTAAGGGAGAGAGGCATGTGGCAGTCTCCTGGCAGAAGGTGTGACACTGGCCTGCCCATGGACAGGAGCCTGGGATCACTTTAGGAATCCCAATGAACATTTTTAAACAGACACCCTTGGACCCAGGCTTACAATAATAGAGGCACTAAATTATATCTACAAAGATGTTCACTTTGTTACCATTTACAACTGCTAAGAAATGGAAAATGACCAAAGCAGACTGGTCAGATTCATGGTATACCTGTAATGCCAGACATTATACAACTGTTAATACTAAAACAACGTTCCAACTTAGAAAACAGTGATAATACTGAGTAGGGAAGCAAGTTATCACATTATAGCATATTCTTATTTATTAAAAGAAGTAAATAACTGAGTATACTGTCATGACCAAGAACGAGGACCACAAATCAGCTGAAGCCATGAGGAGCTCAAAAGAATATCATGTAAATATCCAGGGAAAAGTGACTCTAACAGAATAAAAGCAGGAAAAGAATTTTCAACAGGATGGAGTGACAGATAGACAGGATGAGGGTGTCAACAAAAGTCTCCAGACAAGGGCCTGATAGTAAATAGTTCGGTGGGTCATGTTGTAAATATCCCACTCCGCACAACAGCAGCCATATACCTTATGTAAACAAGTGGACAGGGCTGTGCTCCAATAAAACTTTACGTAAGAAAAAAATAAAAACAGTGGGCCTGATTTGACCTGGGGGTAGTTTGCCTCTGGATTAGATCAGTCCGATCAGTCAAGTAGAATGGGACCCAAGTGAGGCACCACTCAGAAGACTAAGCAATACGTGATATAAATTTAAAAAAGCAAAGCTACTGAGATGTTTCATCTGAGGGGACGGTCATAGCAATGATGAGACAAGGCTCTGCCTGGCAGCTGGGCTTTCAGCAAGAACCTAGCCTGGAGCCAGACACCTCTCTGGTTGTTATGGTACCTCAGCCAGCTGAGAAGGGTGCATCAAAATGCTTGAGAAGTTACCCCAAAACTGTTTTCTTAGAGGCTTAGCATCTTTTAGCCTCAGGTAGACTTAGAAATATTTAAGGAATTAAAACCTTGAACCCTAATCCTCAGGGAATAAGGATTCTACACAGATTCATATATTAAGTATTTATTGTTTTAGAAACATTGACCTATGAGAACAGGTCAGCCTTGTGGTTGTTGCAAATGTACAACTGAGTGACTGATTTAAATTTATTTTAACCTGAAGTCCATCCACAGCATTAGAACGTATAAACTTAAAACTCACCTCACTTATAATTGCTTAGATTTAAATTACTGGCAAGGTCCATAACCAGAAAACCAAAGGACTTAAAAAGGAAAATAAATACACTAAAATTTAAAATGCAGCTTACAAAGTTTAGAACTACTTAACCCCTCTTACAAATGGGATCAAACATGAACTAACGATCCCCTTAAAATCTGTTAGATTGGAAAAAACTTAAGATTTGTAAGTAGGACTGAAATCAGCAAAGAACATTAACATTTGTATATTTAATACATTGAGTATTCACTTTCAAAACCATATCTCTTTTACATGCAAAAGTCACCAAAAAAAAAGTAGCAAAGTAATTAAACTGTGATTATCTGTAGAGACTGGTAAAACATAGGGGCGGGTAAAATGTTCTATGGGGGCAGGTGAAATGTTCTCAGCTCCTAAATCGGGCATTTAGTTGCACTTCCAGGCTGAGAAGAGAAGGCTCTCAGCTTACTTGCAGATGACTTAGTGGACAGTCTTCAAAGAATAACTAAGATCTGCCTGACTACTTACCAGGTGGATTCCTGGGGGAGCAAAAAGGGTCATTTCCTGCATACTTAAAAAAAAACCTTTCAGTTACACAGTAAGGGCATGCTTAATGCAAATTCAAAAGTTAACTGAATCATCAAATCAAAGGTCACCTTTATGTATACCTGATGAAAATTCCCTCCCAGAGGAAGCCACCGTAGTTGGGCTGGAGCACATCCTTTCACGCCTTTTTCTACTTGCTTGACAGGATTCTCTCAGCCTACTTAGTGCTCCATTTTAAGTCCTTCTCATATTCTTTCAATACAGATAGGTTTTTAAGGCTACTTAAGTAATGTATATATAGCTGCATAACCATGTAAATTATGATTTACTTTTCACTGAACGTATGTTCTATAAGCAGTTTTTGGGTCATTTTTTTGACGTATGTACACAGACCTACGTCAGTCCCTGGTAACTAGTGCTTTCTGTTTTTCTAACAACTAACAGTGATGTTTAACCACTAACCTATTAATAATCATTCTGTTTCTCCCAGTTTTCAGTGAAGAATCCTGCAACGAGTATTTCTTGTATGTTCTGTGCACATATATGTAAGTACTTTTATGTGGAACTTCTGCATTTAAGTAAGCATTCAGCCAAATGTACCACATGGCCCTCCAGAGGGGTTTGAGTCCCCAAATGCTTCCATCCTTGCATGGGTTTTGCAGGCAGGGAAAAACAGGGCAAAAGGAAAAATGCAGGATGTGGTGCAAGTGTGAAGACAGGGGCAGGGAGCAGAGGTCCCAACCCAAACTCACCAGGATAGACCAGAAAATCACCCCCGAACTTGCCAGCTGCGCTCAGGAAGAAGCCGCGCTCCCACAGGTCTCTGTAAATGCTGTAGCGGAGCTCATGGGCAGGGCAGCCAGCATGCGGCCAGTCCTTGGACTGAACATGCCAATCCAGGGGCCTAGCCTTGACGGGTCGTGGCCTAGCGGTGGCCAGCTGGACAAGCAGAGCGGACCGGGGTAAGGGGGCCACCCCATTTGAAGGTCCCGGCTGGGGAGAGGCAGATCCTGGGGAGAGAGTTCTCTCTTCACCAAGAAGGTTTGGTGAATCCAAGAAGCAATGTCTTCCCATCCCTCAGGGTGACAGAGGCCCTAGATTCGTGGCCCAAATTGCACAAAGACCTCTCCCCTCCTTCCCCTGGTCCCTGGACTTCAACTCCCACCTCCACCTGCGTGCTCGTGCTCTCCAGAAGCCTGGCTCGTGCTGGCCTCATTCTCTCCTTCAGCTTGGTTCCCGCTGTCCTCCTGGCTCTCGCTGGTCCCTGATTCCTGCTCCAGCCTCTGCTTCTTGGCAGCCTGACCCTCTGCAATCTTCTCTAGGAGCTCCTGACGACGAGTCCGCCGGGCCTCAATTGCCAGGGCGCTTTGCTCTCGGAAGCCCTCCTCTTGCTGGCGCTTGAAGGATGCCAGAGCCTGAGAAGTACGCGGAATCCCAGCATCCAGGCATGCCCTCGCCAGGAAGCCAGGAGTCCCGACGTCCTGGCCCTCCGACCTCAGAGCCCGAACCGGGGGGTCCCAGTCGCCCACTATCTTAGAATCCCGGACTCCCAAGCCCCCTCTGACCTCTGGACCCGGAGCCCAGTCTCCAGCCTCTTCTTCCCCCGGTCCAGGGAGTGTGCACACGCAGCCTGCCCCTTACCAGGCTGTGTTGGCGCGGATCCGGGAGCGGGGCACTGACTAGGGTCACAGCGCCGATCTCGGCCAGGAGCCGCGCCTCTTCGGGCATGAGCAGCAGCGGAAGGCCCAGGCGTGAGTTCTGGCGGGGCCCGCGGGGCAGGGCGCCCACTGTGCGGCCCCCCACGCCCAGGCGCTCCCGTAGCGCCTGCACGGCCTCGGCCCCCCACACCAGGGAGCGGCCGTTCGCCACCTCCACCACCAGCATCCTCCTGCAGGAGCGGAATGCGCCGGGGTCACCCACACCACCTCCCGCAGCCCGCCACAGACCCTGCGTCCGGAGGGGGCGGGGTCTGGGACACGGGGGCGGAGCGTCGCCCGGCGCAGCGGGTCACCACCTACCCGGCCAGAGAGCCAGGCCCCGTCCCTGGGTGCCGAGCTGCGCTCCCGGATGGTCCCGCCAGGTCCCGGGGTCGCCGGAGGCGAGGTCCCAACCCTCACCGAGCCGGGGCCCCGCCCGGCCCTGCGGATGCAGCGCTCAGCGTTCGGCTCCAGCCAGCAAGCCGCACCAGTCCTTGAGCCTTCGCGCCTCAAAGACACGCCCCCACGGAAGCGAAATTTGGCACCGCCTCTCGCAAAGCGAGCGCGTCCCACCCGAGGACCGGGCCCCGCGGAGACCACGCCCCCTCGGCGTGCTGGGAATTTGGCCCGCCCCTTTCCAAGCTCCGAAGTTCAGCAACTGGGCCTTCTAGCTGAGTAGGCCTCCTACACTCCGAAGTCCCGCCCCCCACCCGAGAGCAGGCGGTCGGCGTTCGGGCACTCTCAGCTCTCGTCAACCCCGTCGCCGGAGGCTCCGCCCCCTCAGGCCGCCGGCGCTCCCTCAATTGGGGAGTTTCCGCCCCACGACAGAACCCCACAGCCGGGGGCCACGCCCCCTGAGAAGCTGCCCCCGGCTCTCCGCTCTCACCGGCTCACCCCTCTTGTGAGCGCTCCCTTCGGAGTGCAGCACTATTCTCTCACAGAACCAGCGGGTCACCTCGTAAACATCAGCTCGTAGTCCCGGCGGAGGCAACTCCTACGTAGCGCGCCACGCGCCGCTTCCTCCCCCCTCACACCGACCCCACTGCGTCAATTTCGTCACGCCGCCACGTCAGCAACGCGGGAAGCCTGAGGCCCGCCCCGGGCAGAGCCGTGGCCCCGCCTCCCCGTCCCGGGGAGCACTTTAGCCCCGCCCCTCGGAGCACACCTCCCTCCGCCGCGGGGCCTCAGCCACCTACGGTAACAGACTGCTCACTCTCCTGGCCTCACCCTCTCGGCCGGCGCAGTCCGGGCCCCTCCCCCTCGGCTGCTCCAAGTCCCCGCCCCTTCGCGTGGCCGGCCTGCGGCCCCGCCTCCCTCCTAAAACACGAGCCTCCGCCTCTTCTCATACCCGTCACTAGCACCCGAAGGTCTCCGAAGGGCTTCGACGCCGTGGTCACGCCCACATCCGGCCACAGATCTTGGCCCCTCCTCCATCTTAACCGAGACCTCTTAGTACTCGACTGTGCCCGAAGTACGCCGAAGCTTGTGGCCCCGCCTCCAAACTGCCTCCCGACTCTGCCCGAAGGAAGCCGAAGCGGAGGCCCCGCGGCCTTCACGGGACACCGCCTTCCTCCGAGCCCGAGGCTCCTGGACCCGCCCCTTCCGAGCCCGAGGCCCCGCCCCCGGGCGTTCGCGCGGCTGGGCAGCTGCGGGTCCCCGCGCGGCCGCTGGCTTGTGCTGCCGGGCGCCCGGTTCCGGCTGCTTCCGCGCGCTGCCCCCAGCCTGACGGGCCGCGGAAGCGGCCCCGGACGGAGCAGCTCTGAGGGAGGCGGGGGCGTCCTGGGCGGGGAGGCGTGGTCGGACCGCGGACCTGCCCGGAGGGCGGGAGCCGGTAGCAGGTGGGCCTGGGTCGGGGCGCTGAGGCCCGGCTGCAAGCGGCGAGGGCGGCGCAGGGAGCGCGGCCGAACCAGGGGTGGCGTAGCCGCCCGTGGCTTTGCTGTGGCCGTCCGACCCGCGCGGGGTGCGCGCAGCTAGGGTGGCTGAGGCTGGGGGGGCCAGCAGGATGGGGATCTATCGGAGCCTACGATAGAGGCGCACGGTGGAGGCCTGGGCTCCTCTGAATCCTCCCCAGGAGGAGCTGGGGGTCTGGAGACGCGGGTTCTCAAACGGAGGAGCTGGGGTTCTGGATCCTGCAAGACGGGGGGGCGCTGAGAGGTCTGGAATTCTGGGCTCTCCTAGGAAGGGCCCGGGAGAGGGGTTATTTCTGGGTTCTCAACGGAGCGATGCTTAGGGACCTGGGTCCTCAAGAACACGGGAGTAGCTTTGATTTCTGCGTTCACAAAGAGCGGGGCTGGATTACTGGGTCCTCGAAGAAGGAGGGGGCTGGGCAGTCTGGTATTCTGGGTTCTCAACAAGGGGGCCTAGGGGTGGGTTGGATTTCTCTATCCGCAAAGGAGGAAGGACCCGGAGGTTCCCATCCCTCTGTTCCGAGGGGAGAAACAGAGCAGAGGACTCCAGGATCCTCCACAGCTGGAGGCCGAGGGGCAGATTCCCTAATCCTCGACGGGGGAGGGGCTGGCCGCCCCCGTTCCTGGGCTCTCACTACTAACCTCCGCCCTCCCCCAGGCCATGTCGCCCGAAGAGTGGACGTATCTAGTGGTTCTTCTTATCTCTATCCCCATCGGCTTCCTCTTTAAGAAAGCTGGTGAGTCAAGTTCCCTCCCCAGTGGAAAATAACGGGGTGGTTGGGGCGGCAGGGGACCCGCTCCCCGGGAAGGTTCCAGGCTTATGCTCCCTTCTTCCTGCAGGACCTGGGCTGAAGAGATGGGGATCCGCAGCTGTGGGCCTGGGGCTCACCCTGTTCACCTGTGGCCCCCACACTTTGCATTCTCTGATCACCATCCTTGGGACCTGGGCGCTCATTCAGGCCCAGCCCTGGTGAGGATTGCGGGTGGGGGAGGCAGGGGAGGCCCAGCCGCAGGAGGCAGCGACCTGTTTCCTCTTTGGGTCTTACTGGTTCCTGCCTCCCTCTCTGGGTGTCTCTCACTTATTTCTGATTCTCTGTGTCATCTGCTGTTTTTCTTCCTCTTCTGCCTTTTCCTGGGTCTTGTCCCCGTGTGTCTTTCCTGGTCCTTAACACACAGGTCATGTATTCAGGAGAGAAGAGGAGGATGCCCGGCTGTTGGGCCTGCCGCCATTCTTATCCGTATTCTCTCTCTCTCCCTTCTCCCCTCTCCCAGAAAAAATGAGGATTGCAGGGCTTCACCCTGAAGCTTCCCTTAACCCTCCCCTCCCTCTTTGCTGTTTGGGGGCATTCCCATGTGGCTGTCTCCCCTCTCCTGCTGTTTCCCGTCACGCTCATTCTGCCCCCCTCCCCGCATTTTCTGTCTCTGAACGCGGGGGAGGGTTTGCAGCTAGAATTTGGGGGAGGTGGGGACCTCGAGGCTGGGGCCCCGCGCCCCGCACAGCGGCCTCTTGCCTTCGCCCCCAGCTCCTGCCACGCCCTGGCCCTCGCCTGGACCTTCTCCTACCTCCTGTTCTTCCGCGCGCTCAGCCTGCTGGGCCTGCCCACCCCCACGCCCTTCACCAATGCCGTCCAGCTGCTGCTCACACTGAAGGTCAGCCTCCGCTCCGGCCCTCCCTGTGTGCCAGCGGACCTCCCCAACTTCACCTCCTCGCAGCCACTCCCACGGGGGCTGGGGACGGGACTTTTTCTCCCACAAGTCCACAGGCTTTGCCCTGGGGCCGGTCTTCCCCGCTCAGCACCAACCTGGGGTAAGGAAGTGCGCAAAGTAATGTACCTGTAGGTGTTTGGAGTTTGTGGTGTGCTGAAGGCCACGCCAAGCGCTTACCAGTATTTCTCCTTGCATCTTTGTAGCAAGCCATTTTGCACAAGAGGAAAACCAGCTTTGCGGGGAAGGCACTTATCTGAGGGCACAAAAGCAGGACACCCACTTCTGGCTCTAAATTCCCCAGGAAGATGGGTGGAAACATTCCCAGGTCCCACCCCAGACTAAAGACATGAGTTGCTACTGTGTGCTGGGATCTGGTGACATGTCTGTGGGCAGAATGGTCCTGCAAGGTAGCGAACCGGGTCTCTTCAGTGTCCTGTGTCCCCAGGGGGGTTCAGGAAGAGGCAGGAGTTGGTTCGCTAAGGGAAGAGTGGGAGAAAGCCTTTCAGAAGATGTAGGGAGGGTGAGTACGGGAGCAGGCTGGGCCTTACGACTTGGCATCAGCCACGGCGCCTCTCGCCGAGAGGAGGAAGGTGAACAGGCATCAGGGGCCGGGCCTGTGGGCCAAGGTGAGGAGTTCGGACTCCTTCCTGTAGGGCCCGCAATCCACTGAAGAGGGTTTTTGGTTTGTTGCCAGAAGAGGTAATGTGACCAGATTTACATGTTTAAAAATACTCGCTCTGGAGGCTGAGAGACTTGCAGCCAAAGGGGCAGGGTGGGTTGTGGGAGGTCTCCTTGGTCAAAGTCCAGCTGACAATCGGACGGGTGACGCAGGCTGTCAGTAGGCCACTGAGAGCCCCTGCAGGAAGCGCTGCATTGAGGATAATGTGAGGAGTGCTTTAGAACAATGAGCAGGATTTGCGGGAGCCACAGGGAAGTGCAGGAATCCTGGGCCAGCTGCAGGGGAGCCAGGGCCCAAGGGATGAGAGGGGGCCAGGCAATGGCACCTGGAAGGAAATGTGTAGAGCTATGCGCCTTGAGATCCATCAGGGGTCACGGCCCAAGGTGGTCTCACAGGGGAGTGAAAGCTCAGCCCTCGCCCTGCCTTCCTCCACCTGCGCCTGGGGCACCCTGTCAACTGACCCCAGAGGAAACTGGGTCTGTGTGGGAAGGGCTGGAGGCAGAATGAAAAGGACAGACTTGAGAGACCTAAGGGATTAGGCTTGGGGAGCAAGAAAGGTCTCTAGCCTGAGCAATTGGTTGGGTGGTGGTGGCTTTTGCCTAGGGTAGAGATGGAGAGGACCCACTCGGGGGAGTGGGTAAATTCATGTCCCACTTTGAACGTATTAAATTGGGGGTGCCGGCAGACAGCTGGGTTTTGATGACTAGAGGCAACTTGATGAATAGTTCGGGGCTGCAGGGAAAAGTCAAGACCAGGGGTATGAGTGCCGAGTCTACAGAGCCAGGAACACACGTAGGAGGATGATCAAGGCCCAGAAGTGGGCCCTGGGGAGGCCAGCCAGTGGGAGGCACAGAGCGGCCATTACCCAGGACCCTAGATGCTCAGAACTGCCCTGGAGTTGAACCTTGTTGCGCACAGCAGCATCTGGGCTGCCGAGGGGGGGAGTGTGAGGGCAGTGGGTGTGCGGAAGGTGCCAGGGGCTGACCTGTCCTCTGCCCCTTCCTCCAGCTGGTGAGTCTGGCCAGTGAAGTACAGGACCTGCACATGGCCCAGAGGAAGGAAATGGCCACGGGCTTCAGCAAGGGGCCCAGCCTGGGGCTGCTGCCGGACGTGCCTTCTCTGATGGAGACACTCAGCTACAGCTACTGCTATGTGGGGATCATGACAGGTGAGCAGCTGCCCAGGCCTGCCTCCCGATGGTCCCTGGGCTCTTGAGGAGTGGAGAGCAACCATTCTCAGCCTAAGTACCTCCTTGTAGTATAGGGGGAATGAACAGGAGATAAAGGAGAAAAGTTGGGTATAAACCTATTGTTCTGCTACCTAGGGACATAGGTAAGGGCTGCTCCAGCCAATCCAGATACGTGCGGCTTGTGGTCCCTTTCTGGTGTTGGAAAACATCTTTCATTAACTTTGAACTCATGGAAGATTCTCATTTTTACGACCACTTTATTGAGCTGTAATTGGCATTCACCCACTCAGAGCCGCCTCCGGCGCCCCAGTGCTCAGTAGTCACAGTTGTGCAGCCATCTCACCCTGAGGTTATACGATTTCCTCACCCCTAAGAGAAATCCTGGCCCTTTAGTCATCCATACCCCCACCTGCAAAACCTCCGTGCCCCCAGCCCTGAAAACTACTGATCGGCTTTCGATCTCTATGGATTTGCCTATTCTGAGCAGTTGGGAATGGCGTCACACACTGTGCGGTCTTTCTGGGACACAAGGGCCTGTAACACCTGTCACTTCTGCCCCTCCCCAGTGCCCCCTCCTCCGCCAGGCCATGATTTCATACAAAGTGCTGTCCTGTCGCCTGAGAGTCTGCCCCTCTCTCTCTGGGGTCTGTCCCCTCCCTCTGGCTTTCACACCTCCCATCGCTGCCCCCCGAGCCCCCAAGTCTGACCCGCTGCCCTGCATTCCACCACAGGTCCCTTCTTCCGCTACCGCACGTACCTGGATTGGCTGGAGCAGCCCTTCCCAGAGGCTGTGCCCAGCCTGCGGCCCCTGCTGCGCCGCGCCTGGCCGACCCCGCTCTTTGGGCTGCTCTTCCTGCTGTCATCGCACCTCTTCCCACTGGAGGCCGTGCGTGAGGACGCCTTCTACGCCCGCCCGCTGCCCGCCCGCCTCTTCTACATGATCCCCGTCTTCTTCGCATTCCGCATGCGCTTCTACGTGGCCTGGATTGCTGCCGAGTGCGGCTGCATTGCCGCTGGCTTCGGGGCCTACCCCGTGGCCGCCAAAGCCCGGGCCGGGGGCGGCCCCACCCTCCAATACCCACCCCCCAGCAGGTCAGGCAGCGTGAGGGAGGCTGCCCAAGACCCGGCAGGCCCCATCACCGTGGGCTGGCCCTGCCCTTAGCAGGCAGGGGAGTGGGGAGCAGGGGGGCAGGCCTGTTGTTCGCAGAGTGTTCCCCTTGGCCAGTGCAGCCCGCCCCCTCACACCCCCCGTCCTAAGGAGTACTGATACCTGCGGACTGCCCCTTGTTGATAGCACCCGTCACCCCATGGATGGTGAATTGCTCTCTCTTGCTGGAAAAGGGAAGGAGGTACCTTAGCAACCATGTGCTGCCCCTCTGTTGCCATGGAAGTGTCACCCCACTAACCCGATTGTTCCTGGTTGCTTGGGATACCATCTTTGGGCTGTGATGGGTAGCCCCTTGTTACTAGGGAAACAGTTCTCTAGCAACTGGACCACCTCTCTTTGCTAGGGAAGCAGGTTCCCTAGGAACTGTGAGCTGCCCCTTCCTGCCGCAGGCCGGCTCTTCGTTGCTATGGAAACGGCAGCTTGGAAACTCCCTCTCTTGCTAGGAGCCATTGCCCTGCCACGGCCCCCCCATGGGATGTCATCACATAGCCTGCAGGTGCCCTCTGTTTCTAAGGAAATGGCATTCCTGACCCTGCTGTCCTCTAAAGGAGGGTGCACTGCCCCTGGCAAGCTCAGGCTGCCTTCCTCCTGCTGCCAAGGAAACCCCTGGACCCTGTGGGTGACCTTGTTGCTAGTAATGTGGTTCCCCTTGCTCCTTCATTGTGAGGTAAGTGGCACTGCCAGTAACCATGGGCTGTCCTGTTGCTAAGGAAGAATTGCTCATGTTGCTAGGGAAATGACACCCCTAGCAACCAGGAGTGGCCTGCCCCTCTGTTGCAGCAGCCATGGTGCGCCTTCCTCCTGGGCTGGATCTGGGCTGGGGGAGCAGCCCAACGATGTAAATTATGAATCGCTTCTCCCTGCTAGGGCCATCCCCCCCTAGTGTAATAAGCTGCCATGGGTCAAGGGGGACGTGGTGCCCCCACGAGAATTTAAGGCAGTGCCCTATAAACTACGGGCAGGCTCCAGTTCCTAGAGGGGACATCCCACAGACAGTGACGAGCAGGAATCGAAGGCTTTTCCAAGCCTGCTGGGCCCGCTCCTGATGGATGGCTGCTCTCCCGTTACCAGAAGCCACAGCAGTTCATGCGGGCCGAGGTGGTTACCTGATGCTGGGGGTGTTGGCACCAAGGACCCAGGAACCATCAAATTGCTGGAGATGGCACTTCTTGAGCAATCATACGTACTAATAGCACGAAAGGCCCTTTCCAGAAGCTTTTCCAAGCATCCTAGGCCTTGTTGCTAAGGAATGCCCTTTCTCTAGCAACAGACCGTCCAGGTGTCCTGTGGGCTAGGGCTCCTCCCTAGCAACTGCAGTGTCTGGCCGCTTAGAAGGGGCCACACTCTGAATATCCTGAGCCCGTTTGCTGAGGAATGGCCTTTCCCCAGAATCCAAGACCAGTGCAGGGCCCGGCTGCTGAGGACTTGAGCTTAGCAACTGTAACCCCTCAAGGCTCACTGGCTCTTCTGGGCCCATTACTAAGGGCAGACCCCCAGTCTTGGTGAACTGTACAGCTGTCCCACAAAGGCAAGGCTCCCTCCGGGCTACTCTGCCCTGTTTCCCCAGCAGACGTGACAGCCAGAGGGCTGCTGCCTGGCCACCCTCCCTCCTTAGCGTCCGGGGCTGGGACAGTAGCGGCTTCGGGAGGGGCCTGGCTGAGCTGCGTGTCTGTCCCCCACCCTCACCCTCCACCCCCCAGTCCGGAGAAGGCGGCTTCCCTGGAGTACGACTATGAGACCGTCCGCAACATCGACTGCTACGGCACGGACTTCTGCGTGCGCGTGCGCGATGGCATGCGGCACTGGAACATGACGGTGCAGTGGTGGCTGGCGCAGTACATCTACAGGAGCGCGCCTGCCCGCTCCTACGTCCTCAGGTGAGCCCGGCCGGGGCGCTGCCCAACCGCGTCTCCCAGAGCCTGCCTGGCTGGGGCTGCGGTCCTCGGGGCTGCAGCGCTGCGTCGGTGTCTCCCGGCGGGCGGGCTGCTCACTGGCGGAAAGCAGTGCGCGAGACCAGGTGTGAGGTGTTCTCGTGACACCTGGCAGGTGAGCGCTGGCCACACGGTAGCATTATTGTTCTTAGCTCGCCCGATATTCTCCAGTGGAGGCTTTGTGCCAGGCGTCATTATTGTTACAGCCTGAGGAGGGGGGAACTCATACCCCCATCTGACCGAGGCTCAGGGAGGTTAGTTGCCGGAGCCACCAGACCCAGGTCAGGACGCATCCTGACAATGAAGCTGGCGGTGATAGCATCCCCGGAGCCAGGCTTAGCAGAGGCGGGATGTCATTTATGACTCGTAGGTCTGCTGTGGTGGGAGGGGGCAGGAGAGAAAGCAGGGGGCAGATTTGGAGGCTGACCCGGTGGGAGGTGAGGGGCCAGGTGGGCATAAGGAGCAGCAGCCCGGGAGTGGAGGGACCTCAGAGGTGAGTCAGGGCTTGGCACACACCAGATGTTGGGCGTGGGAGACAAATGAAAAGTGATGCCTAGGGCATGAGGGCTGAGGGCACGGAAGGGCCATTTCCCTAGAAGGGGGTAAGTGGCAGGAAGTTTTGGGAGCAGGTGGGTTGAGGAAGGAAGACTTGGGTTTAGCCTCAATGACTGTGGGATGACATCAGATTTCCAGTGGGCCACTGGGTATGCAGTTAGTCGTGTGCCCCACGCACGATGGGTAAGGCTGGGGTCAGAAGAGACACTTGACCATCATCAGGTGCAGACAATACTTAAAGCATCAGGTTGAAGCATAGGGGTGTTTGGGGGGGTGCCCACATCCAGATGGGAACCCAGGGTGGTTGTGCTGCACCCTCAGGGCTTTTAGCAACACCTGGCGATGGTTTGGGGCATAACCGGGGCATGTTCCGGCATCTGCATCCTCACCCTTGTGCGATGCACGGGTCAGCCCCCATGCACAGAATGACCCCAGTGTCAGTAGTGCTGAGATTGAGGAACCCTGGTGTAGACCAGGGACGACGACGAGGAGTAGCACAGACACACGCAGCCAGTGAGCTGCAAGGGCAGTCGGGATGGTGTTCCTTCCCGGAGGGAGCCAGGTGCTTCGAGGAGGCATCCTTTGTGGCAGGCAGTGCCGTGCGCTTCCGTGTGGTGGAGGCAGGCCCGACCACTGGGCTGTGTGTGATGGAAGGTCTTTGGCAGCTGACTGGAGCAGCCTGAGTGTTTCGGGGGGGAGTCAGTACCTGTGGACAGGGAAGACCCCCCCACTCCCAGGCCACAGTCCTTGGCCAAGCCTCCTGTGCCCTCCGTGGAAAGTGGGGGTCAGAGTCTGAATCTGTGGGTCTTCAAGAGATAGCATTTTGGGGTCCATAAGGAGATGGGTCTGTGGTTGGAGAGTTCTGAGTGTTCATGGATGAGAATTTATAGTCCTGGACCCCCAGAAGAGGAAGTGTCTGAGGGCTTGGCTTTATGGGTCCTGAGGGAAAGGGGTACCAGAGGGGTTAACTGGGTTCCCAAAAAGAAAGAATTCCCAGGTCTGCGGGAGGAGGGCTGGGGGCCTGGGCCTCCGGGTCCTGATCCCCAGCCCCTCCCCCAGGAGCGCCTGGACCATGCTGCTGAGTGCCTACTGGCATGGCCTCCACCCTGGCTACTACCTGAGCTTCCTGACCATCCCGCTGTGCCTGGCCGCTGAGGGCCGGTTGGAGTCGGCCCTGCGGAGGCGGCTCGGTCCTGGGGGCCAGAAGGCCTGGGACTGGGCACACTGGTTCCTGAAGATGCGCGCCTACGACTACATGTGCATGGGCTTCGTGCTGCTCTCGCTGGGCGACACCCTCCGGTATTGGGCCTCCATCTACTTCTGCATCCACATTGTGGCCCTGGTGGCCCTGGGGCTGGGGCTGGCTTTGGGTGGGGGCGGCCCCAGCCGGCGGAAGGCAGCGTCCCAGGCCACTGGCCTCTCCCCAGAAAGTCTGCGAGAGGAGTAAGCGCCACAGCACCCCTTCCGCCGGCCAACGGCCCCTCGTCCCCCCACCCACTGCCAGCTTCTACCCGGGAATTCTGTGAAGCAGGCTGCTGTCTCCTTCCCCAGAAAGAGTCCTTAGCTTGGCGAGAGGCCTGGAGAGGATTCCCACGTGCCCAGCTCAGCACCCTGCCACTGGTGAAGTAAGGCTAGGGCGTCCCCTGCCTGCGGGCTCCAGAAAGTCACCTTTCCCTCCTGTAATCAGGATGTCCAGGCAAGAATCTCCCTCTGTCCCTGTCCCAGCCTCCAGGTATTCAGAGACAGCTTCACTAACCCCCAAAATGCTGTGGTTTCTTGGGCAAATCTCCTTTCTTTGGCCCAGGGTGTTGGGAGAGGCACTGCAGGTCAGGTTCTGGGAGCGGGGAACCTCTTCCTTGTGGCTTTTGCACCACTTTTATCTCAGTGTTTCAAACGTGACCCTCCCATTTCATAAAGGGGAAACAGGTGCCGGTGAGCAGGCCTCTGGACTGTGGTCTTGCTAATTCCGTCTGAGCCACTGCAGGGTCCCAGCCCTCCTGCCACACACTTGTCACCTGAGACAGAGTTGAAATGTATAAATTTCTCTAAATAAAGTGTTACTCAAAGACTGTGTGGGTGACCAAGCCGTGTGCCCCTGCTCCGCTCCCAGGAATCACACTGCCATCTGTGAACTTAAGCTGCTGGGACACCTTTCAGGGCAGCTGCCCCAACAGATAGCCAGGAATGCACCGACCTGGCTGCCTGGCCCCGCCCCTCCCTTACCTGGGGCAGGCCCCGCCCCTCCTTTACCTGGGGCAGGCCCCGCCCTGCTGGCCGCTGGACACGGAAACGGTCGCGACACAGCCGCGCCTGGGGCCATGGAAGAGACCTCGAAGTGGGAACCAGAGGCCTGGAGCCCCTCTGCAGGGTGGCCAGCTTCTCGGGAATCCAGGGCAGGTGGGGAAGCCTGGCGGTTGGGCCCAACCCCCCAGGCTGGCGAAAGTGGTGGGCGAGGTGGAGAAGGGATCCCTGAACGGGGGGCAGAGGGCAGAAGGGGCGGGGGGCTCGATTCCTGGGCTCTTGGAACACACGGGAGGCAGAGACGGGGCCTTGGTAGGAGTGGAGACCCACACTCATCTCGGGGGCTGGGCTCGGATATCTGGGGAGCACGAGGGGCCGGGCTCGGAAACTCCTGAAGTGGAGGAGTGGGCTTCTCACCCTGGGGGCCCTCACCCGGCTGCTTCTAGCCCCTGCCCTCCTGCCCCAGGCCCATCCCTCTCTTCCGTGCTGAATGAGCTCCCCAGCGTGGCTACCCTCCGCTACCGAGGCCCCGGGGTGCTGCCCTGGGGGGCACTGGAGGACGAGGATGGAGAGGGGCGCACCCAGGCGTTCGCCGAGGGCGCCCAAAGGGAACTGCAGGACCCCCACCCCTCCCGGGAGCTGCCCTGGCCCATGCAGGCTCGACGCGCGCACAGGTGAGGCCCCGCCCCCGCCAGGTGAGGCCGCGCGCCGCCCGCCGGGCTGTCGGCTCCTGTCCTGGGCGCTCTCCGTCTGTGTCCGCTCCGACGCCAAGGAGGCCCGCCGTCATGGCTCCGGGACTCACTCACTCTCTCCACTTCTCCGTGTATGAAATCTGTTCATAGTTCTCTCCTCTCTGCTCTGTGTCTGTCTCCGCCTCCTCTGCAAAGCCGGTCGCTTTTTACCTCTTCCCTTGTCCCACCACGTGACTTGTAGGACTTGGTGGAGGACGCACATTCTGGGCCTTTTGCTCAACAGTTACATGTTCCCCTGCTACCCGAACACAGAGCGTTCCCATGAAAACTTCCATAAGCCCAAGTGTTGCACAGCTTTCCCCTGCTTTCTGGAAGTTCGCACCAGGATACTTCGTTTTTACAGAAGACCTGCGTTAGTGGGGTCACGGCTTTTTCCGAAGAAGTGAATCCTCTCCGGATTTCTTTGAGTTACTGAAGACAGGTGCTAACGTAGGTCTTTCATGAAAAAGAGGTGACAAAATGCGAACTTCCAGAAAGCGGCCGTAACCTGTATCCCGCAGTTCTAGCAGGCACAGCAGAACCTCAGAAGCCAGCCCAAGGCCCTTCCCAGAATGGGGCCCTTGTGATGCGCAGGCAGCCCTGGAAACCCACCCTCGTTTCCTCCTACAATCTTGACACCAATCTGGTGGCGGGGGGGGGCGGTTCTCCCCACACCACCAAGCTGGGCTCCCGCACCGGCGGGGTGCTCTTCAGTTACTCCGTTTGGGCACTGTGTGCCTGCCCGCAGGGTGAGGGCTCACCCACCCCACGAGACTGCCTTTCCGCCAACGCTGCTTCGGATGCCGCCGCGGGCCCAGGGGGGCATCTGTGTATCTCATAGGTCAGAGGGCCCCACGAGCCCCTTTGGGTTCAACTAACTTGCTAGATGGGCTCACAGAGCTCAGAGAAGCATTACCCATAGATGGCTGGTTTGTTACAAAAGGATGGAACTCACGACAGTCAGATGGCAGCAGTGCACAGGCCCGGGGACGGGGAGAGGGCGCAGGGCCCTCGTGCTCTCTGGGCCGCTCACCCCACATCTCCGCATGCTCACCACCCTGGCAGCTCTCCGAACCCCATCCTTTCGGGTTTTTATGGAGGCTTCGCGACACAGGCGTGATTGATCCACTCATTGGCCATTGGCAAGTGAGCCCACCTCCAGTCCCTCTCCGCTCCCCAGGTCAGGGGGTGGGACCGAAAATCCCCGCCCGCCAAGCTCTGGGTTGGTGCCCCTGGCAACCAGCCCCGTGCTCAGAGGCTTTCCGGGCGTCACCTCAGTAACATAAACTCAGGTGCGGTTGAAAGGGGTTTGTGCTGAATTATCAAGACACCTTTCTCGCCCTCACCACTTAAGGAAATTCCACAGGTTTTAGGAGCTCTGTGCCGGGAGCAGAGGCGAAGACCAAACACACGTCTTATAAATCACAATGCCACACCTTCTTTTCCCGTTTCTTTTTTCACGTTTACTCTGTGATGGTGTCTGCCTACAGCAGGTGCGCCAACCGTGCGGTAGAGTCACGGGGCTCTCCCGCAGCGAGAGACCGGGCAAGCTGCGCAGTGCCGCGGCCCCAGGGGCTCCCGCGGCCCAGCCCTGGCACCCTTCTCCCCCAGCCCCTTCCCAGCCTTTCGCGAGGATCGCTTCCTCGCTTTTCTGGATGATTTTCCACCCGTGCGGGCATCCCCCAAGAGCAGAGGGAACGCGCTGGCTCGAGACCTTTGTGTAGACGATTGCGCCGTGTTCATGTGGTGCCCGGCCTCGCGTGCCCAGCCCTTGCTGCCTCCCCTGGTCGCTAGCGAGTATTCCGACTTAGGGATGTACCGCGGTCTGCCTCCTGGCCCTGCTGTCGGGCTGTCTCCGCATTTGGTTGGGTTCCATTTGGGGTTGCTGGGCCCCTCATTCTCTGTCTCTGACTCTGTTTCGCTCCCAGGCAGGGCCAAGCTAGGGACCAAGCGGCTCGTGGCTCGGGATCCAGGGCGGCCCACTGGACCCTGCTGCTTCGGAGGTCCAGGCAGAAGATGCGGGAAGGCTTGCGCGCCTTGCAGCCCTGGTCGTGGACGCTGAAGAGGATTGGGGGTGGGCTGGGCCTGGGGCTGGGGTTTGGGGGCTGCTGGCCTCCCCAGTCTGAGGGAGGAGGGCTGGGGGCCTGGACCCCTGGATCTGAGGGAGGAGGGCCCGAATCAGACTAACCCCGCTCTCTGCCGCCCCCTGCAGGCCAGTTCGGCGCCGGCACCGCGTCCTACTTCTCGCTGCTGCGCTTTCTGCTGCTCCTGGAAGTTCTGGCCTCGGTGCTGAAGGCCTGCATGACGCTGCTGCCCGCCTGGCTGGAGGGGGCACCCCCGGGGCTCCCGGCCCCGAACACCTCCTCGCCCTGCGGCTCCTACAGCCCCGGTGCCCAGGGCCTGGTCACCTTCCCCACCCATCTCTTCAACTTGCTCTCAGGAGAGGTGCGTGCCCCGTCCCTGGGGGATGCCCCCTGGGCCCCGGGGCCCTCGGTGCCCCCCGATCCAGGCTGCCCAGCCCCATGGCCACCCTGCGCCTCCTTTGTCTCTGCAGGGATTTCTAGAATGGTCTCCTCTGTTCTACGGGTTCTACCCGCCCCGCCCGCACCTGGCCGTCTCCTACCTGTGGTCCGTCTTCGCCGTCGGCCTCCTCTCCCTGGGGCTCATCCTGCATCGGTCAGTGACACCGACACCCGGACCCGCTCTGGGATCCCTTTCTCTCTTTGAGTTGAAATGGAATTGTAAAAGGCTTCATCGGTGCTAAACACCAGAGAAAAAAGATGGGTAGATTCTCCCTCCTTAGAGTCTAGGGGGGAATGTAAGATGTTAACGAGAGAGTGAATTGATTACACTTTTTCTGAGTGGGGGGGAGAGTGCTTTATGGAGAACAAGCAGGTGATTCATTCAACCCACATATTTCTTGAGCAGCTGCTGTGTGCTAGGCATTGTTCTAGGCAGTTGGCAAAACTGATAGAACAAACAGAAAGCCGACAGTGTCCTGTCAACTTGATCAAGCCGACACTTGATCAGGGGAGACAGGTGATCAACAACACGCTGTAAGTGAGTCAGTTTCGTGGTGTGTTAGCCAGGCCCCTGGATACAAGCGGAGCAGGTGAAGTATTGGGTCAAGCAGATAACCGGGGAAAGAGTTTTCCAAGCAGAGGTTACAGAAGGAAAGGCAGGGGGCACACTGGGGCCCAGCAGGGGTGCAGCAGAGGGAGGGGGAGCAGCAGGAGCGAGGCCCACACTCTGTAAAGAATTTGGCCCTCCTGGGGGACATGGGACTTAATGGCACGTTCTTGAGCAGATCACTCTGATCTGATTTAGGCTTTAAAAGGAGTCCTCTTAGCTCTGTGGAAGAGAGAGGAGTCCGGGGAGGGAAAGAGAGCACGTGCAGGAGAAAGGGAGACAGGAGGGGAAGGAGGGAGGGGGCTTAAGAGGTGAGCAAGGCAGCAGAGGTAGGGGTGTGGAGGCTGTTGCAATAAGGCAAGCGAGAAACCGTGGCGGCTTGGACCAGGGTGGAGACAAGTGGTCAGTTTGGGATTTTTTTTTTTAACATTGAATTTCTCACCACCACCCTGCTTTATTAAGATATAATTGACACACATAATGCTGTGTAAGTCTGAGATGGGCAAGGTGTTGATTTGATGTATTTCTCTGTCAGCTCGCAGTTACCATTCCTTTTGTGGCAGGAACATTTAAGATCTCTGAGCAACTCTCAGGTATACTATACAGTATTGTTAAGTGTTTTCAGAATGCTGTACATTAGACCCCAGGAATGATTCATCTTATAACCGGAAGTGGGTGCCCTTTGGACAACATCTCCCCATTCCCCGCCCCCAGCTCCTGGTAACTACCATTCTCTGTTTCTATGAGTTGAACATTTTTTGATTCCACAAGTGAGATCATACAGTATTTGCCTTTGTATTTGATGTATCTCACTTAGAATAATGTTCTCAAGGTCCATCCATGGTGTGCAACTGGCAGGATTTCCTCTTTTCTCGTGGCTGAATAACATTCCATGGTGTATATGTACCACATCTTTAAGCATTCACCTGTTTACACACACCGAAGGTGTTTCCGTATCTTGGCTATTGAAAATAATGCTGCAGTGAACATGGGTGTGCAGCTGCTCTTCGGGATACTGTTTTCATTTTCTTTGGATAATTACTCAGAAGTGGATTTGCTGGATCATGTGGTAAATCTGCTTTTAATTTCTTGAGGAACCTCCCTGCTGCCTTCCACAATGGCTGCATCCATGTACATTCCCACCAGCAGAGCAGAGATTCCTTTCTGTCCGCATCTGCTCCGACACTTCTCTCCTTGATGATGGCCATTCTAACTGGTGTGAGGTGGTATCTCACTGTGGTTTTGATTTGCGTGTCGCTGATGATCAGTGATGCTGAGTGCCTTTCCATGTACCTGTTGGCCATCTGTATGTCTTTGGAAAAATGTCGATTCGACTCCTCTGCCCATTTCTTTATTATTTTGTTTGCATTGAATTGTATGAGTTCTTTATATTTTTTGGATATTAATCCCTTGTCAGATATGTGATTTGCAAATATCTTCTCCCATTCAGTATGTTGCTTTTGCGTTTTGTGGATGGCTTTTTGCTGTGCAGAAGCTTTTTGGTTTGATGTGGTCCTGCTTGTTTATTTTTGCTTTTCTTGTGCCTTTTGTGTCATATCACAGAATTGTTGCCAAGACCAGTGTCAAGGGACTTTTCTCTTAAGTTTTCTTCTATGAGTTTTTCAGTTTGAGTATTTATCCATTTAGAGTTAATGTTTGTGAGTGGTGTAAAATTGGCGTCCAATTTCATGCTCCTGCAGGTGGCTCTCCAGTTTTCCCAGCACCATTTATTGAAGAGATTCTCTTTTCTCCATTGGATATGTAGGTTTCCTTGTCAAATATTAGTTGACCAAATATATTTTTATTTCTAAAATAGCACATCCAGAAAAATGCACAAACCAAAGGGTACAGCTTGCTGCGTTCCCACCTATATCAAGAAATGGAACACGTCCAGCCTCCAGAATATATTTTGAGAGTGGAGCCCGCGGGATTCCCTAATAATTGGACGTGGGGCGTGGTGCAGATGGCAGTTAAGGATGGCCCCAGGGCTTTGGCCTGAGCAACTGGAAGGGCAGCGTTGCCATCTGCTGGGATGAGGAGAGCTTGAAAAGAGGTTTGGCAGGGATCCGGGAAGGGCACTTGGTTGGGAATGCTTGATGTCGCCCTGCCTTGGACCTGGGAAGGGAATGTTGAGCAGATGGGTTCTGAAGAGGTGTCTGGACTGGAAACACAAATGTGGGACTTGCTGGCACTCAGGCAAGACTGGGAAGGGACTGCGGTCAGGAAGGGAACCAAAGACTTAAACAAAAAAAGTACAGTGTCTCCTAAATGCCAGGCACTGGGCCCAGGGATACCAGCCTGGGGACCACCCCCCCAACTTGTGCAGCTTACAGTTCAGTAGGGGAGGTAAATGTGAGGAGGCTGAGAAGCCACGTCATCGGTCACAGTTTGGGAGCAGTACTGCGGAGAGAGCACACGAGGTCGTATGGTCAAGATGGCAGAGCAGGGACCAGCGCTTTTCTTTTTTTTCTGATAAAATAGTAAAGGCTGAGTAGGAAATATTTTAATCTCTTCTGACCATACCGTCTCTGTCTCAACCAACCCTTGCTGATGTAGGGCAAAAACAGTGTAGACAGTTTGAAAGCCAGTGCATATGGCTGTGATCCAATAAAACTTTATTTACAAAACAAGATTTGGTCCTTGGGCTGTGGTTTGCTGCCCTCTGTGATAGAGGATAATGGATGGAGATCCTCATTAGGTGGAGTGGTCAGTAAAGGACTCTGAGGTAACCTGCTGGGGGAGACCAGAGATGAGAAGAAGCCACCCAGGTGAACAGCCCAGAAACTGGCATTCCAGGCAGAAGGAACTGCAAGTGCAAAGGCCCTGTGGTGGGAAAGTGAAAGGCCAGAATGAGGAGCAAGAGGGACAGGATTCGAGCTTTGAGAAGTGGGCGGGGGCCGGATCAGGTGGGCCCCGGCTGGCTGCGCTGTGGAGGAGCCCAGACTTCAAGAACATGGAGTAGCTGTGGAGTCCGTTTTAAACGGGAATACCATCCAGTCTGCATTAAGTAGAAGGCTCCACCAGCTCTAGGGAAGAATGGATTCCGAGAGGGCATGGGTGGAAGCAAGGAGACCAGGTGGGAGTCCTCTGGGGGCGCCCGTGAGGGAGACGGCGGGCCTGGCGTCAGGGCGGCGCGCTGGCGTGGAGGCTCCGCCGCGACCGCTGCCCTTCCCCTCCCTCGGGCTCCCCGTCCCTCCTTGGGCCCTCGGCCCCCTCTCTCGAGTCCCTTCACAGCGCCCCCTCCCCGCCCGTCTCCGAGCATCTGTGCTTCTTTGGGTCTTTCTACCAGAGACCTGCTCTGCGTGTCTGTCCTTCCCTTCTGCCCTGCATCTCTGATTTCCTCCTCTAAGATCTCTTGTCCCTTGTCTCACGGAGCCCTTGTCCCCCTTTCTCTGAGTCTCTGTCCCTTTGGGGGTCTGTCCGTCTCCCCAGGGTCCCTGTCTCCTGGGTCTGTCCCTGTCTGCCGGGTGTCTGTCCCCCTGGGTCTGCCTCTGCGCCTCTTGGTCTTTCGCTCCAGAGACTGAATGAATGTGTCTCCACCAGTTTCACTCTCCCCCAGGGAGCAGGTCTCCAAATGCCCAAGGTCTTAGGGTGCCTTTTCGCTGTTCGCCCCATAAAAGTGCTGCCCCTCTGTTCCTGACTGCCCTGCTACACCCCGTCTCCCCTCTCTTAGCTCGGTGTCCGGATTGAAGCAGACGCTGTTGGCCGAGTCGGGGGCCCTGACCAGCTACAGCCACCGGGTGTTCTCCGCCTGGGACTTCGGCCTCTGCGGGGACGTCCACGTGCGGCTTCGCCAACGCATCATACTTTACGAGTTGCAGGTGCGCTTAGGGGCGCGGCGGGCGACCACGGAGGGACCAGGGGGCGGGGCTGAGGGGCGGGGCCTGGAGCAGGGATGGGACTTCGGAGAGATGCTGGGTGGAGCTTTCTTGTAAGGAGGCGGAACTTGGGCAATGAGAGGCCTGGGAGGCCACAATAAGGATACCTGAGGTCAAAGGGTACAGTAACTAGCAGTAGGAAGGGGCAGGGCCTGAAGCTCCCTGATTCACTGGTTCAAAGAGATGGGTATGGCGGGATTGGGCTTGGTAAAGTAGAAAAGGTCTCAGGGGGTGGGGCTTGGGGGGAGCCTGAGGGGGGCGGGGGGTGGAGTGCTGGGCGGGGTCTGGAGGGATGTGGCCAGGAGACAAGTGGTCACCTGGAGGGCCCTGGCGGGGTAGGGACAGGATTGTAGAAGTCCGTGGGTGGTGCTGTATCAGGTCAAGTTAAGCGGGGACTCTGGACCACCACCGGGCCTGGGGGAATGGAGCCCAAGAACTCCTCTCCGGCGTCAGGTGGAGCTGGAGGAAGCCGTGGTGCGGCGCCGGGCCGCGGTGCAGACCCTCGGCCAGCAAGCCAAGGTGTGGTCGGTGCGGGTCCTGCTCAACTTGCTGGTGGTCGCGCTCCTTGGGGCAGCCTTCTACGGCGTCTACTGGGCTACGGGGGCCACCGTGGAGCTGCAGGTGTGGAGGGGCCCGGAACCTACATTTGCAAGGGTTGGAGGGACGCAGTCTGTGATTCCTGGGATCTTAGGAGGGGTGGGGAGATTATGCGGGACCGCGGCCTTTGCGGGGCTGGGGAGCACGTTTAGCACGGTCCCTCCAGGACCCCACAACCTCTTTGCGCCACCCTCCCTCCCAGGAGATGCCCATTGTCCAGAACATGCCACTGCTGAAGCTCGGGGTGGATTACCTTCCGTCCATCTTCATCTCAGGGGTCAACTTTGTGCTGCCAGCCGTGTTCAAGCTCATTGCCCCGCTGGAGGGCTACACTAGGAGCCGCCAGATCGTTTTCATCCTGCTCAGGTTCCAGCCTTCAGGGCGGGGGTGGGGGTGTTGGCCAGGCGGTATGAAGGACATGGGTTCTACACAAGACCCAGAAATCCCCAGGATATGGGATCCAGTGAGATCTGGATTCAAATGCAGACTCCGTCACGGAGCTTCAGCACCTTCTGTGAAATGGGCAGAACTGTGAGCGCGTCCCAAGCAGGAGAGGCCTGGCGCGTCGGGGACGCTTGGTCAGTATTGATTCCCTTCCTGTCCCTTCCCCTTGCCAGGACCGTGTTTCTCCGCCTGGCCTCCCTACTGGTCCTGCTCTTCTCTCTCTGGAACCAGATCACTTGTGGGGGCGACGCCGAGGCTGAGGAGTGCAAAACCTGTGGCTACAACTACAAAGAACTTCCGGTGAGGACAGCCACAAACCCTGGGCCCTTGTAGGAAGGAGGAGCTGGCCCTGCCTAGACTCCCGGCTTAGAAGGAGTAGCTCAGGTTGCTAGAACACCTTCCCCTTTGAGGACAGGGCTGTGGATGTTTGAAAAAACTGGGGACCCCCAAAGTACCGACAAGGTCTCATACGCTCGCGGCTTGGAGACTCGATGCTTTGAGCCTCCGGTTGCCTGGGTCCTTCCTGAGGTCTTCCCGACCCCGGTCTTCCTTCCGCAGTGCTGGGAGACTCGGCTGGGGCAGGAGATGTACAAACTCCTGCTCTTTGACCTGCTGACTGGCGTGGCCGTCATGCTGCTCATCCAGTTTCCACGCAAGTGAGAGCTTCGCCCCTTGACGCGGCCCCGCCCCTCTCCTTCCCAGGCCCGCAGACCCCGCACCCGCCATTAAGTAGCTACTTCCCGCCGACCCCCGCCCCGCCACCCATCACTTCCGCCCCTCTGGCCCTCAGGCTCCACCCCCAGGCACGCCCCCTCCGAATCCACGCCGTCTTTCCCGCTTCTCTGATACAGACTTCTTACTGGTGGGCGGGGCGGTGGGGGCGGGAAGCTGAATCGGCCCGCCCCGCCCGCAGGCTTCTGTGTGGCCTCTGTCCCGGGGCGCTGGGTCGTACGTTGGGGACCCAGGAGTTCCAGGTGCCCGACGAGGTGCTGGGGCTCATCTACGCGCAGACGGTGGTCTGGGTGGGGAGTTTTTTTTGTCCTTTACTGCCTCTGCTTAACACGGCCAAGTTCCTGCTGCTTTTCTATTTGAAGAAGGTAAGTGCGGAGGGTTTCTGGATCCTGGGGGAGGGTCCCGGGCTACTGGATCCTGAGAGAGATGGGGTCTGGAGGATTGGCTCCTGGATGTGGAGGAAGGGTCTAGGGATCTAACCTTTAGGTCCGAAGGCAGAGGGGATCCAGACCCCTGGGTCTCGTGGCGGGATGGGACTGGGCACTCCTGGATCCTGAGGGGCTGGGGCCAGGACTTCACAGTGGCGAAAAAGGGCAGGCTGTGTGGCTCGGCCTCTCGAATCAGATTCCGCCCTTCCCCCACCAGCTCACCCTCTTCTTCACCTGCTCTCCGGCCTCCCGCACCTTTCGGGCCTCCACAGTGAATTTCTTTTTCCCCTTGGTCCTCCTCTTGGGTCTGGCCATCTCCGCTGTTCCTGTGCTTTACAGCATCTTTCTGTAAGTGTGAGAGACGCCTGCCTCCTTTCTCCCCCTCCCTGTGCCCTCATCCAGGGTGTGACTCTGTGTGACTCTTGGCCATCTTTGAGCTCTGCCTGCCTCTGTATTCTTTAGGATCCCGCCTTCTAAGCTGTGTGGTCCATTCCGGGGACAGTTGTCCATCTGGGCCCAGATCCCCGAGTCTATTTCCAGCCTCCCTCAGACCACTCAGAATTTTCTCTTCTTCCTGGGAACCCAGGCTTTTGCTGTACCTCTTTTGCTGATCTCCAGGTGAGGAGGCGCAGACTCCTGGTTCTGAGTTTGAATGTGTGTGATCTGGGGGCCCTGCTGCCTGTGTCGGAGAAAGGAGGGGCTGGGGGCCTGGACTCCTGAGTCTGACGGAGAAGGGGCTGGGTGTCTGGCTCCTGGATCTGAGGGAGGAAAGCCTTGGGGGTCCAGACCCCTGATTTCTAAGGAGCCATAAGTTGAACGTGTTCTAAGAGTTTTGGGGTGTGGCTTCCATTCCTGTTTGTAGCATACTAATGGTGTATACCGTGACCCTGGCTAACTCCTATGGACGCCTCATCTCTGAGCTCAAACGCCAGATAGAGACGGTAATTCAGGCCGCGTACCTGGGAAGGGCCCTGGGGAATATGGAAGGCACATGCGGGAGAAGGTCTCTCTCACCTCCGCCTCTCTTTACCCTTTCCTGCAGGAGACCCAGAACAAAGTCTTCCTGGCCCAGCGAGCTGTGGCACTAAGCTCGGGCAACGGGGCTTTTTGAGCGCCCGGCCTCACTCAGACCTAGATCTGCATCAGACCCTTTGTAAGCCTCGGCCACATCATCAGAAAAGTGGGACAACTGGAGGAGACCCCACGCCCTTCCAGTCTCAGGACTGGGAGGGTTCCAGGGCTCCGACTACTAAGGGAACCCTGCCTAGTATCAATAAACGCAGCTGAATCTGTTGAGCGCTCTTCCAAACTTGTGTCCGGAAGCCGCGAGCAAGGCTTCTGTGAGACACAAGCCAATCAAAACATGAGCCTCCAGTGGATGTGAAGGGCGTGCTAGCCAACCGGTGACCACGTCCGGTAGTGTTGGGGCGGGGACACCTGTGAATGGCTCCGAGCCACGTTAAGGGGCGGTCGTTAGGTGATAGCAAGTACAATTCGACTTTAGATGACGGGACGTGGCCTCTTAGCCAATCAGCTCTCGCTACAGCCCTGGGGGGCGTGTCAGCCCAGGGCCAATCCGTGGCCAAGGAAGGTATAGCAGGGAGGGGTACCCGCGCCAATCCGAAGTGCCAAGGGGCGGGACGCTAGTCCGTGGAGGGTGACGGCGCCATGAATATCTTGCCCAAGAAGAGCTGGCACGTCCGGAATAAGGATAATGTCGCCCGCGTGAGACGTGACGAGGCCCAGGCCCGGGAGGAGGAGAAAGAGCGTGAGCGGAGGGTACTTCTCGCTCAGCAAGAGGTAAGCTCAGAGCGCGGCCGGCCGGGGCTCCCTGGCCGAGCGCGCAGGCGTCCGGAGGGGCCGGAAGTGGGCGGTGCGCAGGCGCCTTATGTCCAGTGCGGATGAGGTGCGGGTGCGATGTAAACCGGCGCCATCCTTCCCCGGTCCTCGGCCTGGGCCTCGGCGTTGTCTTGGTCAGCGCTGCTCCTGAGCTTTGCAAGGCCAGAGCGGAGCCTGGCACAGAGTAGGAAGCTTAGGAATAAATGAGACAATGCTAGTAGTTCAAGGAAGCTTTTGACCACTTTTTAGTTTGCCTGCACAGCCTGCCTACTTACTGAGCGCTACTGTATGGTCCCCGTGCAGAGCGCTTGACAAGCACCATTCGTTCTTAAGAGGGGCGCTGTCTGTCATCGTAACTGAGCAGAAGACTGAGGTGGCCCCAGAGAGGAAGCTACAGCCAAGTGATGGGAACAAGCCGGTCCTGCGCCGCTCCCCACCCGCACTCCAGAGGCCGCCTTTATAGCTCCAAATTTCTGCTTACTCCTAGTCCTAGGTGTCAGTCCTTTAACTAACTTGGTCCTCAACACTGGCTGGGAGGTGATCTGGGTTTTTAAAATTCACATTTATTGATATAAATTGCAAGTCGACTGGGGGTAGTGACTTGGAGCCCTGTTTGGAATTGAGATCTGTCCTAACGCAGCAGGTGTTGTCTGTCTTCATAGCTGTTCTTATTGTGTCACCCGAGATTGGGAACCCCTCTGGTTTACTGTTTGAAAGGCAGTTTACACACCTGGCTGTCACCTCATACCCCCCCACCCCCACCCCAGGCCAGGCTTCCTTCCTTATAGCCCCCTGGCATCGTGGACTGGGATTCAGAGAACAGTTCCCTGAGTCACATCTAGGTTCTAAATATTTTCCCTATACCTTTCTTTTTCCCCAGGCCCGCACAGAATTCCTGCGTAAGAAAGCCAGGCATCAGAACTTGCTACCTGAGCTGGAAGTAGCAGAGGCAGGAGACCCAGGTTCTGGCCCTGTGGACCTGTTTCGGGAGCTGCTGGAGGAAGGGAAAGGGGTGACCAGAGGCAATAAAGAGTACGAGGAAGAAAAGCGACAGGAGAAAGTAAGCTGGCCTGGCCTCCTCCGAGTCAAGGACACAGCCGGGAAGGGGGCACTTGCCCTCAGGTGTGGGAACAGGAGTGTAGGAACATGGTGGGGATTAAAGAGCTAATCCAGAGAGCTCAGCATGGACTCAGGTGTTTTTTCTTTGCCAGCCAGGCCCACAGGGGCTTGCAGATGGGTGCTGGAGCCCCCCAGCTGTTAGGTACAGACCCACCAGATCTCCAACCTATGTTAAGACCCAGTAGAGATTTGGGAAGTGTTATGGTCGATCCGATTTTAAAGGTGAATCCACTCTCAGGGTTTTTCTATCAGATCCTGAACTTGCCCCCATCATCCTGCCTTGATTGCTTCTTTCAGATTTTACTTCCCAAATATCTCTCCAAAGATGCCTTTGAACCTTAAAGCAGTTCCACCCACCCTCCCTTTCCCGAAACTGCTTGTGTGTCCCTGAGCCTGCCACCAAGCCCCAGGGTGGAGGCCCCCCTGCGCTGGTCTGTCGTATCTGCAGCACCAGGCAGTTGGCCCGTGAAGGCCCTCACCACCTGGTGGGTGCGTGACTGGTTCTGCCTCCCCAGGAGCCTGTGTGTCCTGCCATCACGTGAGTTTCACTTCTGTCCCTTCTGGCCCTCAGGAGAGGCAGGAGAAAGCTCTGGGCATCCTGACATACCTGGGGCAGAGTGCCGCGGAAGCCCAGACACAGCCCCCTTGGTACCAGCTCCCCCCGGAACGAGGGCGCCCCTCACCTGGGCCAGGTCCGGACAGAAAGCTCAAGGACCGCCTGGACCCTCTGCGGGAGCTGCAGAGGCACTTAGGGAAGAAGAGAAGGCACAGCAGCGGTGACAGCAGCCACGGCAGAAGGAAGCAGCAGGAGCGGCCCCGGGAGTAAGTGGGCCCGCGTGGGCCCTGCCGGAGCTGTGCTCAAACCTGGTTGGAGGAGCCCCGCACCCCCGGGTCTGCAGTCAAGCCTATTCCCCCAGCGCCACCGGGCCTTCCCACCTCCCCAAGTGCACCCTGCTTGCAGCATGCCCTGAGGCTGCTGTCCCGACAGCGGGGCATCGTGGACCCCTGCTGCCGAGCTGTTTCCGTCTCCCAATGCTGAATGGTACCAAACGAGCTCTCCACATCCTCGATGTTTGAGACCAGAGTTTGAGAACCATGGGGTCAGAGTAAAAGCAGGTTTGTGGCCCTACTATGCCAGGCCCTGAGCATGGAGGCGAACTGACTGCAGCCTCTCTTCTATAGGAAGGGAAGCTGAGGCCCAAGAGGCCAGAGTGTTCAGGGTCACATGGGCACCACAGGCCTCACTGAGCTTGGTGCCCGTCGGAGGCAGGGAGGTGCCAGGTGGCAGCTCCCTCCTGAGGGTGGACGGGGCCTCCCAGCTTTCTGACACAGCTTTCCTCCCCCAGGCTGCCATCCCTGGACCAGCTTCGAGCTGAGCGCCTTCGGCGGGAAGCAGCTGAGCGCGCTCGGGCAGAGGCCTTGCTGGCCCGGGCCCGGGGGGTGGGCCCCCCGGAGGAGCAGCCCGGAGAGAGCGAGCTGGATGAGCGCCGGAGGCGGTACAACTCCCAGTTCAATCCCCAGTGGGCCCGGCGCCCTACAGCTGGACCCCCACCCGCTCGCTGACTCCAGGGGCACAGGAGAGGGTGCGGCTGCCAGCCGTCATATAAAACTATTTATTCATAAATATTTTCCAAAATGAAAATAGGTTTACCAAAAAAGTCCCTCACTGGGGAGGGGAGGGGGCAGCCCTTGCCCTGGCCCCCAGGGTGGGGCTGCTTCCTGTGGGGGTTGCCCTGAGGCTGTGGCCCCCTCTTCCAGGGCTGGGCCCTCACCTGGGCAGGGGATCAGCATGCGGGGGGAGGGGGGCGGGGGGGCCGGTGTCACTGGAGGTCCCGGTCCTCCAGGTAGCGGTACTCAAAGGTGAAGCCTTCTTTCTTCCGCTGGCCCCACTTCTCGTAGTCAAAGTAGATGTAGGTGCCCTGGCCGGGGGAGAAGTGGTCAGTGAGTGGGTTGGGGGGTGGCTGGGCTCTGGCCAGATGTGCCAGGCACAGGGCTGACTGCCCCGCACACATGCTCCATCTCGGATAAGAACTGGCATCCTGCCCACTGAAGGTTGGGAGCAGGACGTGGGCCTGAGCCTGGCAGGTCAGCAAGGCCTCCCAGTGTGCGGCGCTGTGGCTTTGGAGCACCAGTGGGGTGCTGAGCATGAGGTGCCTGTCCTAGCACTGTCTTCACAAAAGCCAGGCCGGTACCCTGTCTTGAGAGCAGAGGCTGTCTACATCCAGGCACGCAGTCGGACAGACATTTTATTGGTGATGCTGGTGTGGGCATTTCTGAAGGGCTGATGCCGTGAAAACGCTGACGTGGAGGATTTCTTTGGACCAAACGGACGGGTCAGGAAGTCTGGTGTCAGAGGACACAATGTAGGGAAGGGGGCAGGGTTCTGAATGAATATCTGAAACACTTCAAAGAACCGAGAGTAGACAGGATCCCGTTCAGTATTTGGCATCAGGTGAACATTTGGAGAAAAACCTTTGTGGAACACGCCAACTAACAGTAACTTGAAACAAAATACAGTACGCCAGGACAGGCACCAGTGAGGACTTACGTGTCATCAACTCATTTAATCCTCGTAACAACTGCTAAGGTGGGTCCTGGTACCCCGCTTTTACACATAAGGAGATGGGGAGAGATTCAAGGAACTTGCCCAAGGTCACCCAGCTAGAGCTGGGTTCAAACCCAGAAGTCTGGGTCCAGGGTGTTTAGCAAGAAGGGGAGGGGGCTTCAGTTATCAGAACAGAAGGTCACTTAAACCCAGCTTCGCATTTGTGTGAACCCATTCTGCTGGGTGCTGGGGACACGGGAGGAGACACAAAGGACCTGCGCAGACCAGCCCCAGGACAGGCACAGGCTGGGAAGGGGCATTTAGGCTGGGGTCTATGGGCTGGCTAGGAGTTGGCCAGATGAAGGACAAAGACAGCATCCCAGGTGGAGCCAGTGGCTGAGGGGCGGAGCTGGTTCCCTGTGGCAGGGGCTGGAGGGGCAGCAGGGGTGCCAGCCTGCTGGGGGACTCCACCCCGGCTCCTCGGGGGGCACAGGAGGGGCCTCACCTGCTCGAACTCGTCAGTGATGGTCTTGGGCTCCTCGTGCCTCTGGAACCACATCATGTACTTGGTGTGGAAGCGCCACGACTGCTTCTTCAGGGCCTTGGCTGCCAGGTACTGTGCCTTTGTGCCCTGGGGGAGGTGGCCGGGGTCAGGGCTGACTGCCCTCAGCCCCAGGGTGGGCCGGACCATCCCACCGGAGAGAGCTGGGGCTCAGCAGGAGAGGACGCAGAGACGCTGCCTCACCGCAGCTGGTGTGTGAGCAGAGCCAAGAAGCAACTCAGCTTCCCAGGCAGGACAAGGGTGGAGGCTACTGGTCAGCACGGGGGTCAGCACAGGCGGGGCAGTTCCCTGGTGGTCTCCAGGGGTCTGGGCACACAGTGACAGCTGCAGTGCCCGGGGATGGTGGTGGGCCACAGCAGGGGTGGCTGGCTGCTCCAGGGGCCAACCCAGCCCTCAACCCCACCAGTCCTGACGTGGCTGTGCTGGAACAGGCTTAGCTGGGGGCCCCAGACCTGGGGGGTGGGGGGAGTGGTCTGGTGGCTGCAGTGCAGCACCCACCTCACCATCCAGCCCAAGAGGGGACAGCGACAGTGGTGGTAAAACTGGGCGCCCAAGGCTGCCCCGGGGCCCCTGCTGTACCTCCAGATAATAGAAGATGAAGAAGAGAGTCTCAGTTGACAGGCGCTGGTAGAACTCCACAGTGTCCGAGTGTGGGGGCGGCATCTGGTGGTGGTAGGGGGGCGTCGGGCAAGGGTTCCGGGGCAGGTACTGCCTGTGGGGTGAGCGCAGGGTTGGTCCCCTTACCCACAGCCCTGCAGTCTGCAGGGTGGGCCAAGTCGCACCCCTGCCTCACCAGCTTCCCTGATAGCCAGGCAGGACCTAGTCTCCCAGGTCCGTGGAGCTCCCCAGGCACCCAGTCCCAACAGTTAATTCCTCAGCCCCTGCCTCTGGGGAGCCCCAAGTCAGGCTCAACAGGTACTACCCACCCTCTCAGGACTGGGGGCCTGGTGCCCAGCACCGCCTCCCTCACACTCTGGGTCCCTGGGGCCCTCACCGGATTCGCTCGGAGTCCGAGGGGTGGGGCATATGGTGCCAGGCAGCCTCCTCCATGGCCTGCTGATAGAGCTGCTCCTTGGTGAGGGGCACAGGCCCCAGTGGACACACGCCCAGTGACAGTGGGATGTTCACCTCTGACAGCTGCAGGGGCGGCTGGGCCGAGGCTGGGGGAGCCGATGTGCTGCTCAGGATGATGTCTGGTGGGGGTGGGGCAGGGCCCGCAGTGAGGCTGGGCTGGGGCCAGTGCCCCTGTGCTGGGCAGCCCCACCACACCAGGACCCTCACCTCGCTCGGTCAGGTGCAGCGTGGGTACCGGGTCCTCGATGCCAGAGCTGATGGCTGCTCGCTCTGCCATGGACTTCAAAGAGCTCAGAGGCTCGGGGGCCTGGGGGAGCGGGAGGGTGGCTGAGCAGAGGCCCTCGGTGTGTAAATGTGCCCCAGTACCATCTCGGTGGAGGTACCCCCAGAGGGGCACCCTGGAGGCAGGCCTGTGGCACACAAGCCATGCTGCAGAGGGCACCCAGCCACAGCAAACGCGCCAACACGCAACAGCGCAGCACCCCAAGAGCCCACGCCTGGCAGGGCTCTCAACTACCAGCCACACTGCAGGGCACCACTGGGGGGCAGGGTCCCGATCCACCCCACTGCCCAGGGTGCCACCTCCTGGCCTCCCGGCCTCCAGCTCCGAGGCTGGTCCCCCGCCGGGCCCCCACACCCTTTGCCGGCCATCTCTCCTGCCCCTCAATCTCCTGCGGGCACTGCTCTCATCCCTGACCTGTCCCCTGCCCAGCCCCTCACAGCCCCCACTCCTATCCTCAGTGGCTCCGGAGGGACGTCCCTTCGGCCCTTTCTCCACTCACAACCTCCCCAAGGCCCAGTAATTTTTTCTTCAATGTTAGGGACTCTTGAGAAGCTGAATTTCCTAACCCTTGTATGACTAAAATCTGAGTGACTCTGTGCCAGAAACTGTCCCAGAGCTTTACAAGGGCCAGTTAGCCTCCCCGGAGCCCCCCATGTCTGCCTTTGGGTGACAGGTGTGCCACTCACTCCCATTTTTCAAGCAGGGAGGGCCAGTTAGCCTCCCCGGAGCCCCCCATGTCTGCCTTTGAGTGACAGGTGCACCGCTCACTCCCATTTTTCAAGCAGGTGCCAGCGAGTGTTTTGACTCAGATGGTTTCTTAGAGGCCAGGTGCCATGTGAGGTGGGAAGTGTGACGTGCCTTATAAGAAACTGGGATGCAGACAGAGGGCTGGAGGACAGACGAGGGGAATGGCCTGAACAGACGAGGGCCAAGGTGGGAGGGAGGGGGAGAGACGGGGCCACAGTCCAGCGAGGGGGCGGGGGTAGCAGAGGCCTGGAGGGAGGGGACAGCCAAGGCCTGGCGTGAAGCTGGCAGGGCTGGGGGGACCTGGGGCCCACCTTGATCTCCGGGGCAGTGCTGAACTGCGGAGGCCCATTGAGCAGGGCGCCAGCTGCCTTGGCCTCGCTGAAGCTGGGTGTCGGGGAGCTGGGAGGGTTCACAGGAAGTGGCACCAAGAGGCTGGGTCCCCCGGAGTTGTTCCCTGAGCCTGGGGCCACACCCCCAGCCCCAGCAGGAGCAGCAGCGCTGGGTTCCTTCCTGGGGAGGGGAGAGAAAGGAGGGGACTTGGGAAGGGCACACAGAATGGAATGGGGGTGGGTGCAGGGGCTCCGGTAACGGGGGCGGATCAAGAGGGAGTGCAGGGAGAGGGCCCTGCAAGGGGCAGGCTCGGGGCACCCAGTGGGGGGGGGCTGGCCTGCACAGAGGCAAGGCAGAGCCCCATCTGGGGTTGAGTGGTCTCCCGGGGGAAGGAGAGCTCCGGGTTCTCAGGAGGCTCCAGGCGACCGCAGAGTGCCGGTCAGTGGGAACAGGCAGCCTTGCACTGGCCTGTGGGAAGAGAATGCACCAACCACAAACGGAATGCCTCCCAGAGCGCCAGGGTGAGGTGGGTTCAGGGAGCAGGGCTCCCCTCCCACCCCAGGGGGTCAAGCTAACCTCTTTTCAGGTACTCTGGGAAATGACTTAAGATGTAGGAGGTCGGCTGGGGAGAGGAAGGAGAACCCCACATTCTCCAACAGGGTCAGGCACGCCTGGGGCAGGTCAGAAAAGGGGGTTGGGGGCCAGAAGAGCTCCTCCAGGAATGGAAGGTCAGAATGTTCTGACATGTCACCATTGGGGTTGGGAGGTGAGGAATGGTTTAGAGTTGGGGGACCGAGGTACACGTGTCCTGGCAGAAAAGAAGTGGGAGCAGACATAACCGGGCGGGAAACAGCTCGTGGGGACATCCCCACCTGCAAGGGCAGGGCTGCTAGAGCCGGACACTCACGAGGTGCTGGGAGGTGGGTTGTGGGAGCCAGATGGAGGGCCCAGCGCCTGGCTGCTGGCACTGCTGCCTCCACTGCTGCTGAGAGCCACCTCTGCTGGGCTGTCTGCCACTACCGAGCTGTAACCTGGGAGGAGGAAGAGTGAGTGAAAAGGGGCTACCCCAGAACCCCCCAGCCCTGCACAGCCTCCCCACTTACTGGTGGCGCCGTTCTGCTTGCCTGCGCCTCCACCTCCACCACTGTTACTGCCGCCCCCACCTCCTCCCCCGCCGGGCTGGGCGCTGGGGGGCCGTGGCTGGGCGGAGCTGGGCCCGCTGGAGGCCGACGGGGCCACAGCCTGTGCGTAGGGAGCAGGGGTGCCTGCGCTGTGGCTGGGGGCTGGGCTGGCCTTGGAGCCCAGGGCGCTTGGGGGCGCTGCTGAAGCGGGGGCCCCGTTGTTGCCAGGGGTGGTGCTCAGGGCAGAGGTGGCAGGTGGGGGTCCGGAGGGGTAGCTGGGCGGCACAGCCGGGGACTGAGGGTGCTGGTTGCTGTGGACAGGCTTGGAGCCATTTTTGGCCGGAGACTGCAAGTGGGAGAGAGAAGAGGGTCAGGACTCCGTGGGCCAGCGAGTCAGCCAAACCTACTACACACACCCTCCCCGGGGCCAGGCTCCCTCACGCACACTCCTGACTGTGGTCCCCAGCTTCGTGCTTAAAACACTCACATCCCAGCCCATACCGAGACTTCCACGTCCAGCCTCGGGGTCTCCCCACCCTGTCCCACAGGGACTGGCTCCCCCACCTGGGGATCATAGGAACCAGTGGCAGGGAGGACGTGGGAAGCGCCTCAGTGCCCTCGGCGCCAGGTTGGCTGCAGCTAGCCCAAGTGCCTGAGGAAGGGCGCAGCCGAACCCACACAGCAGGTCCGAGCATCACAAGAGCAGTCTCGGGGCCGCTAATGACCGACATCCCGGAAAGCAGAGGCCAGCAGTATGCCCATAGCATGCCCACTGGCGGCCAAGCTTCTGACAGGCCAGTAGGTCCTCTCAGCCAACTGGGGCAGCTGTCCCGCCTGCCCAGCAGCCATCCTGCTAGCTCAACCAGGTCACACTGGCCACATCTCCACCCACCCTGGGCCAGGCCCCCATCGGCCCACTGAGGGGCTGTGGGCCAGCCAGCTCCCACGTGACCACATGGCTTTTGAGCACAGGGTTTCCTGACATGGCCCCTGGCCTGGGAGTGGCTTGATTCACTAGAGAGAATTAGGTAGGGTTCATTCACAGGGGCCACTAGGGGAGAAGGAACTGCAAGAATAGATTCCCCCTCTCGGAAACTCTCGACAGCATCTCCTGCCCACCCAGGTGCCCACCTGTTTACCTGCTTACCCACACCCGCCCAATAAGGCACCACAGGCCTCCCTCAGGGCCACACTACCGTATCTAACCCAGCCCTGTCCCAAAGCCCAGCACTACAGCTGCACTCAGGCCTTAATAAGCTAAGCCTTTGGGAACTAAGGAGTGGGTGAATGACAGGCCTGTCGATATGCTCATCAGACCCACCTGGCTGACCTCGCTGTCTGTCGAGCGTCCCCTCTTCTTGTCATCTTCAGAGTTTTCCTGAGGTGGGAGAGGCTTGGTCAGACACCCACGATACCTCTAGGTCCCTACCAGAGATGATAATCTCCGAACCTCCCGGGAACCTGGGCCCCAGTGACCAACCCTCCAGCCCCAGGGCTATTCAAGTACCTATGACCCTAAACTCACTGGAGGACCTACTGAAGTCCTGCTTCCAGGATCTCAGCCAGCATCACCTGCCGGCCTCTTAAAAGAGATCCAGGAACCACTGATCCCGGCTCCTTCAGAAGCCCTCCCACTGCACCCCTGGGGCAGCCCGAACCGCCGACAGCTCTCACAGCTCAGGCCCTCGACATAGACACCCCTCGGTTCCCTTCCCACAGGCCATCCCGAGACCCAGCCCCCTCCCCTCCCCGGTGGGGGGCCCCAGGCCTCACCGTGGTGCAGTTGGCCGGGCTGGGCGGGATGGGGGAGCTGGAAGTGGTTGAGGTGGGTGTGCTGCTCGACTGGTTGAAGATCTCATCCTCCATGTGGCTGTGGCTGGGGGGGGAGGTGGCGACCAGCGCCTGTGCTGTGGGGGCAGGGGGGGCGTGCTGAGCCGGCCGGGCGCCCTCCGCCGGGGCCTCGCCGCCCCGTGCCCGCAGGCCACCCCGGCTCACGAATGTCCTCGAGGTCCAGGTCGTCGTAGAGGAACTCGTTTTCCTCGAAGTCGGGGTCCTGGGACGAGTCGACATAGTACTCGACGTCGTCCTTGATCTTGCGGATGGCATCCACCAGGATGGAGTCATTGTCCAGCATGCGCAGGATGGTCTCCAGCATGCGCACGTGGTAGCGGTGCTTCTCTAGGTGCCGCTTCAGGCCCTCGATCCGGTCCTGCTTCTGCTGGCGAGCCCAGCGCCAGGCTTAGGGCTGCAGGGCACCACCCCACCCTGCCCCCAGAGAGCCCTGTGCCCTCCTGCCCCCGAGCGATGCCCCACCTCTCTGGCCGCCTTCTGGGGCACAGGCACCTGACCAGTCTCCCTCTGCCAGTAACAAGATGACCCCAAGGGGCTCGCTGTTGACCATCACTGCAGTCCTTCATCACACGACACCCCTGCCCTATCCATGTCCCCTGTGGGAGCCTGGGCCCCTCCTGACTTAAGACGAGCCCAGCCTCAAAGCCCGGTTTCTGCAAGGACCCACTGCACCTCCCCTCCAAGCCCCTGGCCCCCAGCCCCCTCAGAGCCTCAGACATCCCGCTTGGCCATATCTTCCATTTCCCAGGCCACCCACCCCTAGGGTGCCCCGAGACCTGGCTCTCTGCTTATGCATTTCCTGTACCAACAAGGAGACACAGCTGGTATCCCACTGCACTCACACCCAGCGCCCAGCGCTGCCCCAGACAACTCCTCTTAGGCCGGAGAAGCCATCTGTGTCCCACTGTGTCCGTGTCTACGGTCCTCTCCTTGGACCTGGGCCCTCTAGGTGCCGGGAGGCCACAGCTTCAGCCACCCCCACCACAGTATCCTCAACCCCGTGACCCCAGTGGGACCCAGCTCTTGCCCCAAGTGGCTCCTCTGTTCGATGGCCCAGTGAGGACCCAAACACACCTCCTACCCCGTGACCCTGACTGCCTGCCCTGTCCGCCCCAGCAGTCCAGGAGAGCTGGTCTCTCCAGCCTGCCACTCGGGAGCACAGGGCCCCCCACTCACATCCTTATCTCCCTTCTTCTTGCGCGTCTGCACGGACAGTGACTCCACTTCGCTCTCAAACTGGTCCACCTGCATGTTCAGGGTGTCGATGGTATTCTGGGGGGGAGCGAGGGGAAAGGCAGGGTCAGCCAGTCCCCCTGGACACCAGGGGGTCAGGCCCCAGAGGCACCTCCTCTCCGCTACCTGACCCACCGTGAGCCACTGGCCGACCTCCTCCTTCTCCTTCTGGGCGGGGTCCACCTTTTGCGCCAGGCCCAGGCCCTCCTTGCTATAGGCTTTGGTCTTGGTCTCTCGCTCCACGACTTTGAACCGTTCCATTTGCTGTGGAGAGCGCAGTTGGCAGGGGGCTCCCAAGGGCGGGAGAGGAGCGGACTAAGGGCCAACAGACACTCCGACCTGAGTTTTGGGAGTCAGACCCAGCTCCTGGGCCCCCGGACCTCGCTCCGCCCCTTGCCCTGGGGAGGGCCCACACTGTCCCCAGGATGTCAGGGTGGGGACCAGGAGCCCAGCCACCCTGCCCAGGTGCCAGGCCCTGGCTCCTACCGTCTCAATGAGCTTGCGGTTGTCTATGAGCTGCCTCTTGTCCTTGATCTCGTTGGACGCCACCCATGTCTTGATCTGGTCCCTCAGACGCTGCCGGTGGCAACAGCAAGGCCTCAGGCCCTGGGTTCGCTCAGACCCCCAGCCCCAGCTCCCTGGCCCTCCACTCCCAGCCCCCTCACTTGAAGCTTCTTAATCTCCTTCTTTAGGTCAGCCTCATACTTTTCTTTCTGGTTTGCGTTGGCCGCATTGTGGAGCTGAAGGATGGAAAGAACCCAGACGTCAGTGCGGGACGGCCGCCCATCCAGCGGTACAGCTCCAGTCCTTCCCTCTGCGGCCTGGGGGCTCTGGGGACCTCCCCCCCCGTCCACCTCAGGGGCTCCTCTCTCAATACTTCCCATCTGGACATGCAAACCCTCTCCCTGGCTGACACCCGGAAGTCCTGAACCTCTCCCTGTGCCCTCCTCCCTCAGGCGATGTGCTAGAGCCCCAGCCCGCGTACCTTCTGCCAGATATCCTCAAACTGCTCCACGCCCTCGGACACCTTCTTGAGGCAGCGGTCGATCTCACCTGCCGGGGGAGAAGGGCGGTCAGCACCCCGCCAAGGCAGGGGCCCGGAGCGGAGTCCCGAGGCGCGCGACCCGCGGCCCCAGTACCTTGCAGTTTGCGCTTGTCTGCCATCTTCCCTGCCCTACAGGCGCACTCTCCTCATACTCCCCTGGAGGTGGGCGCTGCTGAGACTGGGAAGGAACACGGATTTACTCCCCGGCCGGTCCAGACCCAGAGACACGGATGGGGTCAGGGAAGGAGGGTGAAGGGAAGACGCATTCACTATCGGTTTGCAGAGACCAGGCCCAGTTCTCCTCACACTGCCTCGGTTGCCCAGCACATGGTCTGGCCCACAAGAACACCTGCACGTTTACTGAAATAAACAGATGTACTTCTTGTGTACCTCTGATCCAGGAAGCAGAGAACTCCTAGAGCGTGGGGCACCTCCTCCCCAAACGATACTCCACAGGGTGTTTTCAAGCAGGAGAAAGTCACGGCACACGGCTGGGTGCTAGGGATGAAGGCATTAGCCTCACTCCCACAGGGGACAGGCACCCAAGGACCAGACTGAGACCACACCTGTGCCCGACACTAACACGCCACCGGTCGGGACGAGTCAGGACAGCGCACCTCTCAGCAGGGGGCCTGCTGCTGCGCACAGGAGCTGTAAGGGACACAGGGGCATGCCTGTAACCAGGAGGACCTGACCCATCCAGACCGACAGGCTGCATTCCGGAAAGAAGAGGGTCTTGGACTGTGAGGAAGACTATCCCAGCGCAGGATCCTTAAACCAGAGAAGCTAGCACTCCTAACCCAAGGGGCCGACACCAAGGACTAAGAGATGCCCGCGAGTGGGCTGGAAGGAGAGGCTGCAAGGGGAGCAAGACGTGAGGTGGTGGCCTGCACACGAGGAGCCACACAGGCGCTGGCAATGCAGATGTCAGCGTGAGCGCCTGGCACTTGAGTGTGGCATCTTCACGCTGAAACAAGTGGCGTGCAACCCAGAGGGGACTGAAGTCAAAGGGGAGTCCCCAGGAGCTCTTGCCCAGGGAGAAGCTGCATCGCAGGGTCCAACATCAAGACCAGGGGAGACCCGGAAGCCTCGGGAAGCGAGAGTTCTGCCAGGACTCCGGCCATGCCCCCAAACACCTGCACTAAAAAACAGGGCCCTGAGGTGGGAACTCCCATCTAGGCCAGGGCAGGCTGCCCCAGATCAGCCCCAACTGCCAAGGCAGCAAGGGCCCTACGTGGAGGAACGTGGGCCTCCGTGCAGAGGGAAGCCATGCCAAGGCCCCACCCATGGGGAACGGAGGTCTCAGGAGCGGTCCTGTCCAACACACTGCCTGCAGTGACAGGAACGCTCTTCACCTGTGCAATGAGCACCACCGAACATTCGAGATGCGATTAGTGCAACAAAGAACAAAGTTCCTAATTTTCATCTTAATCAGTTAAAATTTAAATCACGCAGTGGCTAGTAGCTACCGGTGAGACAGTGTATCGGGGAGCATCTGTGAGCTGCCCCACGGGGACAGCGCAGGTGCCCCAGCCTCAGGGAGAGTGTGCCAGCACCCCCACGGGGACCCACTCTGGACGGCAGTAGCTGCGTGTGGGGCCTTAGACTCCAGGGCAGCTAAGACAACAGCACCATCCTTGGCCTGCGGCCAGATGCCACACCAGGTGGGGCCCAGTTCTGGCACAGGGACCCTCAGTCCAGGAGGGTGGAGCAGGAAATAGCTGCAGAGGGGCCACAGAGGGACAAGTGCCTCAGGCCTGGCCCCCAATACTGAGCTGTGTGGGGATGAGGTTTGGCTCCAGCAGCCACACCAGAAGGCCCCCATAATCATGCCTGGCGGCGGGGGGTGGGGGTGGGGAGGGTCTCCACCACTAGTGAGGGTGCTCTGTCCAAGGACGCCCCCAAGGGGTGGACACCTCGCCCAAGGAAGGAGTCAATACTCCCCCCAACCTGCCGAGAGGGGCACAGACATGGCAGCAAGAAGCCCTGAAGGGGTTGGAAGCAAGGTACCAGGGGAACATGAGCCCCAGGCCAGGGAGGTGATGTTTCAGACCCTCAACGTGGGCAAAAAGCAGAGACAAGGGGCGGACAGCACCTGGTCTGGGGGAGGCAGCTCCTCCACAGAGAAGGGCAAATGGCCCAGCCAGGGTACCTACCCCCAGACAGGCTGGGACTACAGTGGGAAGGAGCCTTAGCCACAGGGGCCTCAGCCCTCCCTGCAAAGAAAAGCCCCACACCCAGAGTGCGCCGCCAGCAAAGAACCAGAGAAAGGAAGCTGGAGCTTGAGTCTTGACGCGGAGATGCCCCCCTGCTCTGGAAAAATGTCCCACATTCCTCCAAAGATAATCAAGGCAGGCCCCCTCTGAGATGGGCACCTAGGCTCACAAGGGCCTGCGTTCCCATGGAGAGCGGTCTCAAACGGCACCAAGGTGCCTGGGAACCTTGGCCCAGGAGACTTAACCAAAAGTCCTTTGCCCAAAGGGAAGGCACACCCCCAAATAAGAAGTCCGTACTGAGGGGGCAGGTGGGGTGAGCAGAGCGCCAGCACTAAGGGAGCCTCCACCGTGAAACACAGGCCCAGAGGGCTGAGGGAGCCCCCAGGACTCCATCCCGTGGAGAGGACAGAGAGGCAGGAGCAGCAGGCACTAATATCCCGCAGTCCCTAATCTTGGGGCTGTCCCGCACCCGTGCAGAGGCCTTGGGCCATGTGTGAGAAGGATGGCCTCCACAGAGGCCATGTGGGAAGACGATCCTAACCAGGGCGGGTGGCTGCTGATGCTGCCACACACAGCATCTGGGACTGGAAGGCCCAAAGCCAAGGTGGGCCACTGGGAATCCCACCCAGGGAAGGTCACACGAGAGGAACCCCAGGCCCAGGGAGGGTGACGACACTGGTGCCTTTCAAGCCTCAGGCACCCCACCCCCTACAGCAAGGAACCTGTGCCCCAGGACAGAGGGCAGAGCCCCACACAGCGAGTCACCACAAAAGGAGGCAGAAGCACTAGCCCTGGGCACCCACACCCAAAAAAGTCCTTAGTCTCACAGGGGCAGACACCCCTCAAATCCAAGCGCGGCCAGTACCAGTAGCAAGGAAGGCAAGAGCCCTCTCCTGGGAAGCAGTGAGAGAGGTTCCTCCCCCCGGAGAAGCAGGAGAAAAAGCACCCCAGCAGAAAGGCCCAACCCTTCCAGTGCAGGAACCGCGGATCCCGGAGGCCTCACACTCCTGGGGGCTGCAGCTGGGTGGGTGTGGGTAGCCGGGGGCCAGGCTCTGCGGCTGCTCACACCGTGAGGGTCTTCAGGGCTGGGTGCTTCCACAGCAAGGTACCCCACGCTGACACCGAGGGGGTGGGATCCGTGGCCGGGAGGGGTGACGCCCCAATGCAGGGACTGCCAGGGACAGGGGTGGAAGCCTCAGCCTCGGGGCAGTGACAGCCTACAAGGTGAGGGCAGTAGGGGGAGGTGCCAAAAAACCCGACCCAAGGTGCAGGGGCACCAGGCTTGGGGGAGGGGGCAGCCCCTGAACTAAGACTGGCACTGAAGAAAAGGGGCGCTTGCACGGCCCACAGCGGGGGATAGTTAACCCCAGAAGGCGGGCTTAGCAGTATCGTCAAGACAAGACCAGGGACCTGAGACCCCAGTACACGGACCCCGAGGAGGGGGCGACACCACGAGGAAGCGCACACCGAGCGGCGGGCAGTTTGGACCCAGGAGGGCGCACATCCACAAAGCCAACGGCGGACACACAGCCCGACGGGGTAAGAGCCGAGGACAGCCCCGACTCCCCAAAAGGGGGCAGGCCCGGGCTGGGATGGGGTTGCCTCCGACCTGGGGGCCTTCTCGCTCTGAGCGGGGAGGGCGACATACTGAAGAGGCGCAAAGTTTGGCCGGGACTCCAACTCCCGGAGCCGGCATCTCGCTCCAGGCAGTTACTCCCGGCCGGTCTCCCCACAGGAGCGTGGGGGCCGCCGGCCCAGGAAGGCTGCCCTCGCCCGGGGCCCCGGAACCCACGTGAAGACGGCAGCCCCGCTGGGCCACGGGGCAGGAGGGACGCCGCCGAGGGGCGGGCCGGCGCCTCCACCGCGGCAAGGAGCCAGCAGGCACGGGGGCGCGGCTCGCCCCTCACCCACTGGGGCGCCGGGCCGCGCGCGGGGGGAGCGGGGCGAGGCGGCCGTGTCGCGACAGGCGGCCGTGTCCGCGGGGCGGCAGTCTGGCGCTGGGGAAGGGGTTAGGGGTCCGGCCCAGTCGAGCCCGACGCTCTCACCACAGGAGCTGGCGCCGCCGCTGAGGAGCGTATCGCGACAGGCGGGGGAGGCGAGCGCCCGCCGCCTTTTTCTCGCGCCCCGGGCCCCGGCGCTATCGCGATAGCGACGCGAGGCGAAAGTGGGATGGGGGATGTGGGCCCGGGGTTGTTCTGACGACGGGGTCGGGGCTCAAGGGAGGCCGCGGCGTCTGCCGATGGGTCCGCGGAAGCTGACCGGGCCCGGTCCAAGATGGCGGCGGCGGAGGAGCCCTCCCCTCCTCTCTTCTCGTCTCTGGCGCCGACCCACCCCCGGGTCCCGAATATAGGCCTATCATTGCTTCTGCGGCACGTCGCTCTTGCCCCTCACGCGCTTCCTATTGGTCCTTGCAGGGATGTGGCCTGTCCCCTCTTGCCGATTGGGGAATCTCTCCAAGGCGCAGCTTTCGATTGGCCTCCCTCGCAGGCTGCTAAGATTGGCTAACATTTTCTTCCTTGCTCCGCCTTCCCCTCCGGCCTCAGGGCACAACACGCCAGCGCGAGGTAAAGTGCGTCAATCAAGAGGCCTGTGTCTAGGTGATTGGGTATACCCACCACCCCCGTCCCAAACCAATTGGTCGGGAGGAGAAGTTAAGCTGATCAGGGGCGGGAAGGCGTCCGTCAAGTTTAGGGCCATTTTTTATTGGTTGTGAGGGGATATTCTGCCCTGAAGCCATTGGTTGGTCCTGGAAGTGGGTGGGGAAAGCGGAGGAAGGCATGGAGAGTGGGCGTTAAAAGCCGCGTACCTAATGGGAAACAGGTGCCTTAAAGGCGGGGGGGGGGTCCCGCTGAAGTCATCTGCCAATCAAAACAGCCCCTGGGCGAGAGGACCCACCGCTCGCCCCTGGTTGGTCTCCACTATAGTCAGTCATCGCAGCTTGTCCAACAGCGCAGCGAGTAGGCGGCACCCGTTCCTGGAGCGTGTGAAACGGGGCGTAGCAGGCCGATTCGCGGCTGGGGCGCAGCCCTCCCGTGTACCTGCGAGACGGTACGGTCTCGTCCCTCAGTGGCATTGTCTTTCACCGGATGCTTGTCTTGGACACATCTCCGAGACTCAGTATATTGAATGAAAAAACAGGGAGATAGTGCTCCAAGTCCCTGGCCCCTTGCGTGGCCCGGTTGGTCGCGAAGCGCCATGGAGGAGTGGTCTTTGTCCTCTGGCGGGTTCCGTGGCTGTCGGACAGTGACTCGCTCTCCTCTGCACCTCTGTTTCCTCGGGGTTGTGAGGACGCTCGTTGCAGAAGGTACAGATTTCCCGCCGCACGGTTGCTTCCTGATGCCCACTCAGATCTCAGCGCCGGCTCTTCTCTTGGGGGAAAATGTTCCTGATTCCCCCACCCCCCGGTTGTGAGTGCGCACGTGTGTTCATTCGGATATATACTGAGGCACGGCTACTGTCACGTTCGTAGTGATCCGGGTCTGCCCCTCCGGACTTCGCACCCCCAGGAAATAGCGACTGCTGAATGAATGAACGGCAGGGATGCTTGTGGCTGAGGACTTGCTAGGCACTGGAGCTTCCCTGAACCACGAGGCGTTTGCCCAGGGTCACACACAGGCGGGATGGGAAGTCAGATCCGCCCGTCTCCTCTTGGCGGAGGAAAGAAGCACAGATGCAAGGAAGATGAAGTGAGAGTGCATGAGAATCGCCTGTGACAAGGGAGGGAAGACGCTTGTGTATAGGATGTGTCCTTAGGTCCACGCAGACCTGGGAGTGAAGCCTGGGGCTCTGAACTTTAAACTTCCCCCGGGAGCCCTGTGTTCATTAGTTTTGAGAATTCTTCATCTCCAGCCTTGCTGTTCAAAGTGTGGTCTCTGGATGGAGCAGTGCCTTACACTTCTCAGGAATCATTTGAGGATTTATTAAAATGCCTAATGATTCAGGAAGCAGCCGATTGTTTTTTCTGACAGCTCCCCACGTGATTGACTGCTTGAGTAGCCAGGGTCCAGAGCAGTGGGTCTCAAACTTGGTCACACATTAGAATCACCTGGATGGCTTTTTTTTATTATTATTATTAAGGTATCATTGATATTCACTCTTATGAAGGTTTCACAAGAAAAACAATGTGGTTACTACATTCACCCTTATTATCGAGTCCTCCCCCTGTACCCCATTGCAGTCACTGTCCATCAGTGTAGTAAGATGCCCGAGTCCGTACTTGTCTTCTCTGAGCTACACCCTCTTCCCCGTGACCCCACACACACCATGTGCACCAATCGTGATACCCCACAGTCCCGTTCTCCCTCCCTCCCCACCTGCCCTCCCACACCCCTCCCCTTTGGTCCCTTCTTGGAGTCTGTGAATCTGCTGCTATTTTGTTACCTGGGTGACTTTTTTAAAGTAGGTACTCAGACCTTACCCTAGACCAATGAAATCAGAATTTCTGGGGATGGGAACCACATATCAGTAATTTTTTATATTTCTGAGATGATTCCAACATGCAGCTAATCTGATGTAGATAATATTCTAGAGCAGTGATTCTCAAAGTGTGGTCCCTGGATCTGCTGCATGAGGTCACCAGGGAATTTACCAGACATTGCACATTTTCGAGCCCCGCTATGGACCAATTGAATCAGAAACTCTGGGCCCTGCAACCCTATTTTAATGAGCCTTCCAGGTAATTCTGAAGCCTACTGACGTTTCAGGTGACTGTCCTAAGAGTAGGCAGGACCCCTGAGCCAGGTTCCCAGATTCTTCTGAGAGCCCTGCCCCTCCCATTCCCTCTGGTCAAGGGAGGTGAGTATTCTGAGGAGTTGGAGACAGAAAGCCCTTCCCACACAGACCCCTAGCAATGATGAGCAAAGACTGTTGCTTTCAAGCAGGGCTGATCTAAAGACGTAGGAGTAAATCTGGGCAAACAGTTATGGGGCATATGGGGTAATTTGGCCGGTATAAGGAACCTCGCAAGTGCAGACTGTGATGTGAGGAAGCAGATTTAGAGCTGGTGAGGTTGGGACAGAGTCCTGGGTTGAGGGAGGGACTGGGTCCCAGGGACACACAAAGCCCCGAGTGGTGACAAGGGGAGGCCAGGAGAGGAACACAAACACAAGAAGAGATCTCAGCAGGCCCCAGCAAGCCAGAGAGACTCAGGGAGAAAGTGTGAGCTGGAGCGAGTGGGAGGTGGGCAGGGATGGGGGACGGCGCCTTCCCACAGGCTCCTCCTCCTGTATGCGTCTCCTGGGTAACCTGCCCTCACAGGTCCGTAACCAGGACTCCCTCCCCAAGGCCACCATGAAGCCCAGCTCCAGAGCAGAGCAAGCAGGACCCAGCACACTCTTCCTTCTTAGCCCTTTCAGGGTAACCAGCCTTGTGTCAGGTGCTGGGACCGGATGGGCTTTCCCCCAGTGCAGCCCACAGGCCCCCCGAGCCTGCACCTTTCAGCCAAGGTGAGGCAGCTTCAGCTGAGCCCCAGTTCCGAGACAGATTGAGGGTGCTTCTCACTTAGGTGGCAGGAATCCAGACAGCCCTGCATCCCTGTCAGGGCAGGGAGCCTGTCTGCCCGATCCGTCAGGGCTTAGTACAGCAGGCTGGGAGGGGAACAGCGGTAACAGGGCCTGGCCACCGGGCCCTGCTTGCGAGCCCAGGGTCAGGTACCTCCTGGGTACCTTGCATGTGTCTTCAGGGGCACCTCGTGGTGTTAGTGTGGAGGCCTGGAAATGGGAGGCCACTTGCTCAAGATGCCAGGAGCACCCAGGTTGGCCTGTGTTCAAAGCCACATCATGTGGGTGTCAGAATGACTGATGCTCTCCAAGGGAGAGACACAGGAGTGACAGGCGGGGCTGGACCTGGTGCCTGGTTCAGGCACCCAAGTCTTATCCCCAACCCTCACAGCTCCACCAGTCACCAAAGGACTGACAAACAATCACTCCTCAAGGACATATTCTAATACAAAGTGCTTTTAATTGCACTTTTTCAGTTTTTGCTTTCCCTCTTAACAATAAAAAAGATGAGACATGGCAAGGCCTGGCTCGGCTCCCACGACAGGATGGCGACCTCAACCACGCCTCCCCGGACAGTCCTGGCACTGGGCCGACTGCAGGGCACCTGCCTCTACTGAACCTCCCAGCCCCATCCTGACCCCGGTCCCTTCAGAAAGGCAGGGCCCACGTCCCCGCAGTGGACAGCCACCAGGACGTGGCCCCTCAGGTGGACATGACGCCGCTCTTCTCGCCCTTGACCTTGAGGAACTCAGCCATGCTGGAGAAATACTTCTGGCTGGCCTCGGCCACCTTCTTCTCGGCTGCCTGCGGGTTCACGATCTCCAGGCCCTGGGCAGGGGAGGAAGGCGGGACGATAGGGGGTGGGCTCCTAACAAGGCCCCCTCCCCAGGAAGAGGGCCGTGAAATGTCAGGGCCCTGCAGGCCCTTCCCGGTGGTCCTCGGGCTCTGGGTAGACATGGCAACAGTTTACCAGCCCCCAGACCTCCCCCGCTTGAGAGGTTCTGACTTCGTGGGTAGAGAGGGACTCGGGGGAACCCAGGCACCTGAATTTTTAACAAGTTCCCCAGGGGTTCTTAGAAATACCAATATTTCCAGCCAACTCTGTTTGATTCTTGAATAAGGAAAAGCAAGTGCCAGAGGTACATGGCTTGCCCCCAGTCCCAGGGCCAGTCACACCAGCCCTACAGCCCCCACACTGACCACACCTCTAAACATCTCACCCGTGGGCACCAGGCTCTCATGGGGCCTCCCTGCAGTGTATCCGCCTCCCTCCTTTTCCCCCCTGGCACTTTCCACCTTCCAACCACTGTGTATCGTACCATTTGCCTGATCCCTGCCACCCCATAAGCTCCGTAAGGGGAGACTCACTGTCTCTGGTTTGTGGCTCTAGCCCTGGAGTCTGCGACTGTGCCCAGAGCACAGCAAGTGCTCAGCAGATACTTGCCAGCTGAGCAAACACGCCTCATCTGTTATTCCTCATGATGCTGGGAGACACACAAGATACTGGGGGCCATGTTAGCCCTATTTTGTGAGTAAACCCAGACAGACAGAGGTAGTGGCTTGCCCTGCCTCCCTTTTGTGCCCTGGTCATCAGGTGGGAACCTTAACTTCCAAGGCCACCTGCTTATGAGCTTTCTTGCACAGGGCCAAGGTCGCCCCAAGCACCCAGACACTTCAAAGGAGCGCACCCGGAGCTTCTGGGTGGGGCAGAGCCTGCTTGGGGCCAGAGTACCGGCACCAGACAGGGTCCCAGGCTGATTCTAAAGCCACCCGGGCTTGCAGTCACAGCCGTTTGCTGCCTGACCCT